CATCCGATCCGACAAAAGCCTACTGAGTGTCGTCATCAGAACTGAAAAGTTATTGCCGACTAGGTTCAGGAAATGCTGAAGAAGGTTGTCATTGAAGAGTCGTGTAGCCCGTGGGCAGCACCGGTCATCTTGGTTAGGAAGAAAGATGGTGCCTGGCGGTTCTGCGTTGATTACTGAAGACTCAACGCTGTGACCGAAAGAGATGTATATCCGCTGCCTAGGATTGACGATGTTATTGACTGCTTACACTCGGCTTCGTACTTTTCTTCAATAGACCTACAATCGGGATATTGGCAGATACCTATGCATCCTTCAGACAAGGAGAAGACCGCATTCGTGACGCCTGATGGACTGTACCAATTCAATGTGATGCCGTTTGGGCTTTGCAACGCCCCCGCCACTTTTGAAAGGTTTATGGACTCTGTCCTTCGTGGTCTTAAATGGGAGGTGTGCTTATGCTACCTGGATGGCGTCGTCATTTTTGGGCGTATTTTTGAAGAGCACAACGTCCGTTTAAGCCTTGTTTTAGACTGTGTCGGAAAAGCTGGCTTGATTTTGAACTCTAAGAAGTGCCGGTTTGGTGAACGACAAGCTTTAGTCCTCTGTCACCTAGTTGACAAAGATGGTGCCAGGCCGGATCCTCGCAAAATCGAAGCAGTCGGCACATTCAAACCACCCCAGACACTGAAGGAACTTTGCAGCTTCTTGGGCCTATGTTCCTACTTTCGCTGCTTTGTGCCCCGATTCGCGGACAGTAGTACACCCACTGACGAGCTTGTTGCGAAAAGACAGCCCATTCGAATGGACACCTGATTGTAATGCCGCATTTTCTGAACTGAAACTTCTACTGACATCTGAGCCTATTCTTCGTCATTTCAATCCTTCTGCTCCTACAGAAGTGCACAGTGACGCAAGTGGAATTGGCATCGGACGTGTGCTTGTTCAGCGCCATGATAATGCAGAGCATGTTGTTGCTTATACGAGTCGATCTCTAAGCAAGGCTGAAATGAATTATACGGTGACAGAGCAAGAATGTTTAGCGGCTGTATTCGCCATTCAGAAGTTTCGATGTTACTTCTACGGTTGTCCATTCACGATTGTGACAGACCATCATTCATTATGTTGGCTTGTTACCCTCCGAGACCCTTCTGGCCGCCTTGCTCGATGGGTTTTACGCCTTCAAGAATTTGACTTCAGCATTTCGTACAGAAGTGGACGATGTCATTCGGACACTGATTGCCTTTCTCGCCTGCCTATGACCACGACGGAAGACAGTGCAGATACCCTCGACATCTGTTTTGCTGCGGTCTCTCACACGTTTCCTGACGCCAATATCTTCAAACGAGAACAATTGAATGATTTATCTTTAGATCTTTTGTTCGTTGACGCTCGGAATCTCAAAGACAGTGGTCGCTTTCGCATTTGTGATGGAATGTTGTGCAAAACAAATTACTCAGCAACCGACGCACGTTATTTACTGGTTGTACCTCAAAGTCTTCGATGCGACGTTCCCCGTACTATGCACGATGATCCAACGTCAGGACACCTTGGGTTCATTCGCACCCTGCATCGAGTGCAGCAGTGTAGATTTTACGAAACAGTACGTCTCGAGCTGCGAGAACTGTCAGCGTCACAAACTACCTAGCAGTGCACCGCACGGCCTTCTTCACCCCGTAGAACCGCCTACTATGCCTTTCGAGCAAGTGGGCATCGACCTATTGGGCCCGTTTTCGCGATCTTCAAACAACAACTGCTGGATAATAGTGTGCGTCGACCACCTTACCAGATATGCCGAAATCGCTGCGATACCATCTTCTACAGCTGATGGCGTCGCTGCCTTTTTGTTACGCTCTGTTGTTCTTCGCCATGGTCCACCTCAAGTAATCATCAGTGACCGTGGTCGCCAATTTATCGCGGTTGCTGTGGAAGAATTGCTTCGCCTCTGCACTTCACAGTTCAGACATTCGACACCATACCATCCCCAGACGAATGGTCTTGTAGAACGCACCAATCGAACTCTTACTAACATGCTCGCTATGTACGTCGCATCCAATCACAAAAACTACGATGAGATATTATCATTTATTACTTTCGCATACAATACAGCGAAGCACGAGACCACGAACTTCACCCCCTTCTACCTGCTTTACGCTTGATCACCACGCAGCCCCCTTCGCAGCTCCCTTGATACAATCCTCCCATTTAAGCTCCATACCCATGAGTCCGTGGCCGAAACATTGTGCCGGGCTGAAGAAGCCCGCCAAATTGCTCGCTTACAACACTGGCATCACAAGATCGCTCCAAGCAACGGTACGATCAACGCCATCATGCCATTTCATTCCGAAAAGGCGAATTCGTGTGGTTGTGGACCCCCTCAACGAAAACCTGGTTTATGTCAGAAGTTTTTACCGCAGTACACAGGCCCCTACGTCATTGTAGATCACTTGACTGACTTGACGTACCTTGTGGCATGCTTGACGACACCTTCTCGTCGGTCAAACCGAACGCAGTTGGTGCACGTGGCTCGCCTAAAAAAATTTCATCCCTCCAGTGACTTAAACTCGCCCAGCGGGCTTTGTCTGTGAACTGGGGATTGCTATGGTATCAGCAGGGCTGTAGTATGTGCCGGGTAGGTAGAAGAGGGAGACGACATTGTCTGGTGCGGCCTGAGGACTCCATCTTTACCGCGACTGCCAAACTTCATCCTCACCCTGTAAATAAATCCACATATCCTTTAATTCAACCGTAACAATGTATATATATACACACACACACATATATATGATGTGTATATAACTAGTGCATATTCAAAAATCCTTGCACGTGTACAGCGTACCCGCACAGCCTACTCGAAGGCCTGTCTGTTTCCCACGGTAAGCTCTTCTTCTGCAAATAGATTCTCCTAAAAGATGAGGTCCCAGTGGACTTTTAGGGAAAAATCGAACGTTTATTGTTAACTTGTATACCAAGGCTAATAGAAAGCACATGGCTCACAGTGCATGGCCGCGCTTATGAAATTCAGTACACAGTCTTACAAGATTTCAGTGTAGAATGCCCTTCCACCTTCAAGTACATTGACTTCTTAGGCGACAACAGTTGGTTCTGTGGGGGTTTATGAAAGGAAGTTATTAGCAAAAAAAACCCTACTCGCGCGTGTTTATAGCTTTAGTTTTGTAGTAACCAAAATATGTAAACACTGACAAGCACAGGAGAAAAACCAATGTATGTAGCACATGCATCTAAATAGGTGCCCAGGCACCAACCACGTGCACATCCTTAATCGGTTAATAGCAAGGAATACGACAGTGAATGAAGCACTGGAAACACTGCCACTTACTAGCTGGGCTTATTCAAAGAATGGGCAATACTTAATGCACGATAAGAATAGATAAATGTCCGATGACACATAAAGAGCATTTGTAACACAAGGCCCTATCTGTGGCCTGCGAGTGAGTGGTGTCGCTGTTGCTTGATGTGATCATATCTGTCGAAAACAGTGGTGACCTCGTGCTGCATTTGGGTATTTCATGTAGAAAAATCATCCTTTGTAACTTCACGTGTTGCTACTGATGCCCACAAGGGTGCACTTGAAAAATATCTGCCCAGGGATGCTATCACGCGGGGACCAGCTCAATGTAGGTGTGACGCGACACGAACACTCTCCATTTCCCGTGCTCCTTCCCCTTGGTGCACGCCGCTTGTGAAGCGATTGTCAGGACATTAGGCACAATAACATGCATTTTCTCCCAACACACTCAAAGGGGCACGACTAGCATGAGGTAATGTGAGCAACTGCAGTGCATCACTTGTTGAGATGTGTTGAGGCTGATACATGAAACTTTGCCTGTGATGACTGCTATGATGCGCTCGGTTCCTCATTTGCGTCTTAGTTCACATGCACTGATAATAATACTATAAAGACATTGTTTCTGATGGCATACAATACATATAGTGAATAAACCAAATTGTTTTGTTCCTCTCAGCAGGCAAAAATTAATTGGCATCAATGGATGAAATGCACATGCAGAAATTTGAATCAAGTTTAGAGTACTGTTTTCTTTAATCAAAGTTTCACATGATTGTCACCTGTGCTTCTGTAGACCTATATATTTTCACTACATTTCAATCTTACAATAAATTATCAACATGTGCACATCCTCTTGGAAAGTCGTGATATGGACAGCCAGTCAACATTCAAAACCAAATGTTCGATTGGACATACAGTTTAGTTGTCCAAAAAAAAGTCACACGAGACATGGATTCTCACAGCATGTCTATTGGCTATCTGTGTTGGCTATCCAAACTGTCTGGCATTTGTATTCAGTATGGACAGCCAGCAGATATCTGTGGTTACTTGGGCATACTCTTAAATGTGACATTCAGTACATCCTGTTGAGAACTAGTAAAAAATCTTTCTCTTTTTTTTTTATTGATTTACACATGTGTGGCACCTTATAAGTATTAACGAAGGGGGCAAGGGGGTAGCATAGATACGTACTCACTGAAGATTCACAGATACAATGCGGTTGTGGTGTCATGCATATCACAGTGTGTTTGATTGCACAATCTGCCAATCGGGGAGTACCAGCTGATCATTCTCGTTTGAAGTGATGGTTCGCATGTTTAACTTGATATGCATTTATTTATCCAACTAGCAAACTTCATCAGCCTCAAGCAGTATAGCATTAAAAAAACCAAAGGGTGCTTCCTAAGGATGTCAAATTTGTGTGTAGGTTTCTTTTATAATAAGAGCTCAGGTGTGAACTCAAATTCGATATAAAAACATAGATATAATGAATTATCAGTTATAATTAAGTAAATGAAAAATAATCTTGTAATAAATAGTGGGGAAGCTTCCTAAACATGGGAAGTATGTGTGTAGGTTTCTTTTATGTCAAGAGCTCTGGTATTATTTGTTTACAACAGTGTATCCTTATTAAAATAATGCTATAACGGTGCTCATATCACCGCTTTCTATTTTTTTCTTGTTCTGGTGGCAGGAAGGAGGCCCTAGGCTCTATGGGTAACGATGCTGCACTGGCGTGCTTATCACTCTGCCAGCCACTCATCTATGACTACTTCAAGCAACTTTTCGCTCAGGTCACCAATCCACCCATTGATCCATTCCGTGAGAGGATCGTCATGTCTCTGGCAAGTGGCACCAATCTGTCTTGTCTTGAATGACTACTATTGCTGCTGCTTGTGGAAACCAGACATTATATTAGGGACAGTTAACATTCTGGCATGAGACATCGTGGCTAATAGTGTTGTGATTTGGGGTGTAGAAAATCTTCTGAATTGAATTTAATTAATGGCTGCCCTGGGGGGCCCTGCTATGCAGGCGTGCCCGATCGGACCTGAGGCAAATATCCTGGAACCCAGCCCGGCCCAGTGTCGGCGCTTGTGGCTGGAGCAACCTATCCTCTCGCTGCGTGATATGGAGGTCATCAAGGAAACTACCTACAAGGGCTGGCGGGTGAGATTCTTGACGCATTATTTGCTAGTAGCAGTTGGTACAACATATATATATATATATATATATATATATATATATATATATATATATATATATATATATATATATATATATATATATATAACAATTGTATATGTTTTTTATAGAAGATGTGGTTTTTAGCTGTCAGGTTTTGGATAATTCATTGCCATCTTTTTAAAGAAAAGTCATGATTTTTATTTCATGTTGCTACGCTGTACAGTTTACTATTTGTGAAGTATGTTGATACTAGTTCTATTCTGTATTCTGCACTTCCTGAGCAGAATTTCTTAAGATAACTCTCATTTATATTGTGCTAGCTTAATATTTATTTATTGTTAACTGTAACTGGCTCATATTTTATGAGCGTCTGAATGCTGCGCACATGGTTTATGCCGTTTACGTGCCTGCAGGCAACGCTACAGGTGTCATGCATATTTTTTCCTGTACCAACAGTTTTTGTATGCCAAGGGAGTTTTGTCATTGAGTGCCGATATCGCTCTGTACTACAGTTATACTAACCCTTAGTGTACTTGTGAACAGATGAAACATGGGTGACAAGGTGCCGACGACCATAAAAGAGGTAGCTAAACTCATTGCCGAACTTTCGGCTAAGGTAGACACGCACAACAATGATTTGAAATCTGAAATGCAAGAACTCAAACAAACAATTCAGTTCATAGATAGCCATTTTGAGGATGTAAAGGAAAGGCTGAAAAGAGATAATGCAGCCTCAAAGAAAGATAACGCTGCACTGCGTGAGGGCCTTTATGCAGCACGCTGTGAAATAAGAGATCTGAAGCAGTATAGCAGACAGCAGAATCTTGAAATTAAAGGGCTCCTAATAAAAAAAGATGAAGACCTGGCTAGTAGCATAATAACATTTGCTGAAAGATTTGCAGTACCGATATTTTCAGAGGAACTTGACGTGGTTCATCGAGTGCCCTCAAAAGACAAAACAAAACCATATGTGGTCATGAGATGTCGGTCACACTCAACCCGTAACCGAATCCTTCAAGTGATGAAAAAGAAGAGAATTACCTCAGCAGATTTTGGTTATGAAGGCGATGGACCTGTATATGTAAATGAACATCTTTGTGCAGAGAATAAGGTTCTATTGGGAAAGGCAATATCTAAGAAGCGTGAAAAAAATTGGAAATTTGTTTAGTTTTCCAATAGAAAAGTTCTGGCAAGAAAAACTGAAAACTTCAATGTCATTCATATCCACTGTGAAAACGATATTTCTCTAATAATTTGAATAAAAAAAAGCTTGTCTGAAATGGACGTTGAGATACAATTTGTGAATTCTCGCCACAGCCTTATCCATTGTAATATACGTAGCATGCAGAGAAACATGGATCATTTTTGTACCTTACTTTCATTGCACACTTTTAATTTTGATTACATAGCTGTTTCTGAAACTTGGCTAAAACAGAGTGAAACTTACAGCATACCTGGTTACGATTTCTTTTCCACTGCGGGACATGCCCCCATAGAGGTGGTGGTGTAGCCTTATTTATAAAATCTGGTATACCTTGCAGTGTTCTTGCTAATTTCTCAAAATCATACTCATCTGAGCTTTATATTATTGTTGTTAGATGTCAAGATGAAATAATCATACTGGTTTATCGCGCCCCTAGGGGAAAATTATCAGACTTCATGCAACATTTTGAAAGGATACTACAACACGTAAATTCGCTCCAGCGAAAAACAGTTATATGCGGTGACTTCAACATAGATAGCCTAAAGGACTGTCATTCAGAGTATTATAACATGTTATCGTCATACGGGTTTCATAACGTTATATTTTCACCAACACGTGTCGCACCAAAATCGTCGTCTTGTATTGACCACATTTTGTGCAACTTTGGCACAGCAGAAGCTTGGTGTGCTACATGTGATGCAACTATAAGCGATCACTCCCCTACGACTATATTATTTCCAGTCACACAGGTCCCCCACATTAAATCACGTGACACCCATAGTCGTATTTCTTTTGCAGCCCTTCGTGCATGTCTACAAAGCACTGAATGCATTTATTCATCAGATTCTTTGCTGTTGGACAAGTATCTACTCGAGACGTGAATGCTTCTTATTCAAAGCTAAATAAATGCTTAAGAGAGGCCTTAATGCAATCAACAACTGCTAAGGACTAAAAAGTATTATAGAACACCAATTTGCCCATAGATGAATTGGCCCATTTTAGAACAAATAAAAAAGAAAGATTTTTGGCATTCAAAGGTAAAAATGCACAGGAACGATGATTATTATTTATACCAATTTAGAGTTGCCCGTAATAAAGTAACAGCGATGATTCGAAAAAGAAAAAAATATTATTACATGACCTTGATAACGAAAAATTCATGTGATTCACGAACAACATGGCGTATTATAAATTCGGTTCTTAAACCATCTGCAAGCTACATCACCTATGCCAGACATTGAGGTTCTGGGAATATTATTAAGTACCCTAGTTTTAACGTTCAACGCCTACTTTTGTACCTTCAGTTCTCGACTGGCGGCCACGGTGATCAACGATGAATACATTATACACCCTCCTCGTAACCCTAACACATTTAAGTTTACTGATATAACAGCTAGTGAAATTGTAGCTGTAGTTTGTGGTATGCCAGTTAAACTCTCAGCCGGATGCGACAATATACCTTCTTTAGCACTAAAGGAATGCATTGACATCCTTTGTGTGCCTTTAGAAAAAATCTTTAATTTATCATTTTATACGTCAACCTACCCCAAACTTCTTAAGTTGTCAAAGATTATCCCGATTTACAAGGCAGGTGACAAAAACATACCAGAAAACTACCGTCCTATTTCCATTTTGAGTATCAAGAATATTGTGTTTGAAAAATAATAGTTAAATGAATTATGTCCTTCCTGGGACACGAAAGTATTCTTACAACCTGTCAACATGGGTTTAGAAAGGGCAGGTCAACCGACACAGCTGTTTTGTCACTTTCCGAATTTATCAATTTTCACCTAGATAACAGCAGAACAGTGGTAGATATATTTCTAGATATAAAAAAAGCCTTTGATACTGTCAATCACAACATATTATTAAATAAACTAGAATGCTATGGCTTTCGCGCAATGTGTCTTGAGTTCTTTAAAAGCTATCTGGAAAATCGTAAACAAACAGTGCAATTAGCCAACACCTAATCAGAGTTCTTTAATACAGAGTGAAACTATAGGAGTACCCCAAGATTCTGTTCTTGAACCAATATTTTTCTCTCTGTTTATTAACGACTTGCCTAGCATGGTACAAAACTTCTCCATATTTATGTATGCTGATGATACAGCTCTTATATGCGCTCAAGATTCTTTTAACCAAACGATAGCATCTGCGAACTCAGAGCTTTTGATATCCACCAGTGGTTTTCTTCAAATGGACTAACATTAAATATACAGAAAACCAAGTACATTGTGTTTACTTCACCAAGCAAGACCCTTGAGGAACACACATACACACTCCCACTAAATAATTCAGTGCTGCAAAGAGTACATACGATAAAATACCTAGGCATACTCTTGATGAAAATATTAACTGTAAACCTCACATTACCGAGCTCTGCAAAAAATTGAGTAAAGCTTGTTTTCTTCTATATAAATGTCAAGGCCTTTTTGATTTACCGACTTTATGTGTAATTTACTTTAGCATATTCCATAGTCATTTAAACTACTGTGTTGTCACCTGGGGTCACACATACCGCACGTACCTAGAACTGATAATAAAACTTTAGAAAAGAGCAATACGATTTATAACTAATTTGGACTATATGGCACACACACTACCACTCTTCCAAAATTTAAACATCATGCTGTTAAACACACTAATACATTATAAAACGGCTCTCATATTCCATTCAAGTATAACACTAACTATCCAGTTTCCTCAGCAAATTTTTCACCTTCCAATTATGAAAGCCGCAACAAAGCAAAAGGAAAATACCTGACTTTGCAAACAAAGAACGTATACGGTAAAAGAAAACTTACTGCTAATGGAGTCGCCGTGTGGAATAACCTTCCACAAGAAATAAAACAGAATAAGAATTTCTTTCTTGCACTAAAAAATATTTATTATATAAAATATAGATGCCCAATAATACAATGCTAGAAATAGTTATATTAAATACATTTTCAAAACAAGTTATGTAACACACTAATATAATACTTACGTACATGCCTATCTGCAATTATATAATATTTATGTATACATTAGAATCTGTTTTCTTTCAGTCCTCTATCAGTATTGTTATGCTATACAGATACATATGTCATGATTAGTTTTCATATATCACAATGTACTCAATATTTGTTGTGAAGTTTGATATGTTCTCAAATGATGCCTTACATACCTTTCTTTTTTTCTTTTTTTTCTGCCTGCATCCATGATCATTCGCCAAGCACTGTAAATTCATTACGTTATGTTCAGTTCTCCATGTGTAAAATACTTGTATTTGCAAACTTTCTTTTGTGTGTTAATGACATGCCCTTTTCTAAATTACTTTTTGGAATGAATCCCAACTAGCCTTTGTCTAGGGATTCAGGTGCATTTTTTTACACTGTTGTATACAGTACATTATTTTTATGTCAGTAAAACACAATTCAATTCAATACATTGTTAACCGTGCAGCTTATACGAAACAGAAGCATGTGGAAGTTTCTCGCTTGGTTGACCTAGCACTTGAAACTGATGTACTTGTTTGTGGGTATGAGCTATAGTAATGTGGATTTTGGTTGTTTTGTGCAGACAAAGGAGATCGACATTGTGTTCTCTGCAAGCGAAGGAGGCCCAGGCCTCCTGAATGCCATCCGTCGCATCTGTGACGAGGCTTGCACTGCCGCAAAGTATGGCTACACACTGATCGTGCTGTCGGACCGGAAAGCTGGCAAGGACTTCATACCTGTCAGGTGTGGGTTTGAGGCACATCGAGCATGTTAACGTGAATGCCCAAGCACATTATGTGTTTTTCATGACATTTTTAATAAACAGTTGCTGTTTTAATAATATGCTCCTTAATGTAAACTCAAGTTGAGGTTAAAACCTACCATTAGGATCCTGAAGTTCAGTACTGGTAACTGATATTACTGTGAAATAGAGTGATGAAAGGAAGCATTTCAGTTATCCCAAAGGTGATTGTAGCTATAATAAATTATAATATGTTAATGTGTAGCTTTAGCCCCAGGAAGGATGAAGACATTCAACAATATTACTCAAACCTCTTTATTACAAAGTTGCATGTTACACAAAAATGAGTTTGTTATATCCGAAAGCTTGTTATAAAGGTTTATTCCTAACACCATATCCATTGCAAAACTATTTTTCATTTACCTTGTTATAACTAATACTTTGTTACATTCAGTTTTGTTATATCGAAGTATGAGTGTACTATTAGAGCAGCTAAGCCAAGCATGTTGGGTGCCTGTCCGGTTGTTTTCTTTAGCCTTTGTCTTTTTTTAGCTCTGTAACATTGTTTCGTGTGATGCCGGTGACACACCAGCAGGCACACATGTCAACCTACCTTATTCATAATACCACTGACTAGCTAGTGCACATTTATACTTGAACAACGCAAAGGACTATTATTCACACCATAGTACTCTTGTACTGTTTATCTGCTCAACAGGCTTGACACTTGACATGGCAGTGCAGTTTTGATGAAGTACACTCGCAGCTATTGAAAAAATTACTGTCACATGACCATGGAAGTTAAGCTGTTAGTTTGTGTCCCTGTACGGGAGTGTGGTCATCTAACACTCTGCACTGGTTTTACCTCATATGGGCGATGTGCAAGGTATCGGCTCTGTGCTCTATTGCAGCAGTCTCAAACTCGTATCAGCTTTCGGGCCGCATTCTTAAAATTTAGTCCTACATGGGCTAGAATAGAAAGCGGGTGGAGGGGTACTTAAACAAAATGTCAATGTTGACATTAAAGAATGCCCTTCCTATATATAAGTGGGTCATATCTGCAGGGGGTTTGACATACCTTTCGAGAAAGATATCGAACTGGTAAGATTTGCTGAATGTCTAAAATTCGGAAAAAGTGTTTTTATTTTATGTTGTCTCAAAACATAGTGACCGCGTGGGGTGCCTCTGAAAAAAATACTTGAGTCGAGTCCTGTCTCTGAAGTTCTCCCGAACAAAACATTAGTCTCCAAGCGAGAACATATTGTCCGTACTATTTAGCAGTCACAAAAGTTTATTTTTTGCGATGCTGAGGACCGCTAGTAAAAGGTAGGCGGGCCTTTGTGACCCCAGCTCTTGTGGAATGCTGCACTGGTCCTCACACTATCCTTGCTGTTCCGTTTCTTGTGTGTGTTTTCAGTGCGGCCATGGCATTGGGTGCTGTCCATCACCACCTGATCACCATGCGGCAGCGCATGAAATGTGGCCTCATTGTGGAGACTGGCGAGGCCAGGTGAGTGACAGCTTTTTCCATGTGAATTTCTTTCAATTGAGACTTTGCTTACTGAGCTCTCCTGTTTTAAGAATTTATCAAAGGGTCTAAGAATTTGATGCTTGGAAAACAGGCCTTCAACCACATCTTATAACCCTATATATGGTTAGGGTAGCAATAATAATGATACAGCTTCAGTGAAGTCTTTCTTTGTAGGCCCTGGCCAATTATATGCTAGCTTCGAAAAAGTCAATGTTTAAGGTGTTGTCTGCGATTGAGTCCACAGTAGGTGTTGGCTTCATGTCTTTTGGACAAGTATCGTCTCTGCAAAAATATGTAGGCCTTGCTTGTGCAGGACTGATCATTCTGGAAACGAGGATTGGTATCTTCTGGATTACATGTATCAGCTGTCGCAGTCTTTTTTTATGCGGTGCATTGTTTTTTCACTACCTGCTGCAGCTTACGTGAATAAAAAAAAGAAAAATGAAAAACAAGAAGTGAGAAGCTTAGTATTGTTATGGCGTTTATTAGCACACAGCGAGTATACACAATGGCGACAGTAACGGCCAAGCATGGACTCTCAGCGCGAGCGGCGTCCTTTTTGGGTAGACCCACTAGAGAACACTTGAGAGTTCCACCCACTTCAGTGTTCGGCGGCTTCTCTACAATTACCCCGGGGTTGAAGAGGGAGCCGCCTGGCGACCTAACAGCTTGTCGCTACGAACGGGTCATAGTAAGCCTTCAGGCACTCCACGTTGACTATGTCGCACCCGCGACGGCGCATGTCCGAAGATGGTTCAATTGGCTCGACAAGATAGTTGACTGGAGATGTGTGCTCGATCACACAGTAGGGACCTTCATATTTCGGGAGTAGTTTGGAAGAAAGGCCAGCTACAGAGGTTGGGATTGAGAGCCATACAAGGGAACCAGGAAGGAACGTGGGTTCAGAAGTGGCGGAGCCATCACGAATACTCTTCTGCTGCTCTTGCTCATGCGTCGTAAATGTCTTGGCCAGCTCGCGACACTCTTCAGCAAGCCTGGCTGTCTCGGAAATAGGTGCACACTCGGATGGATCCGGCGTGTACGGGAGTATCGTGTCGATGGTGTGTGTGACGGGTGCCTTCCATACAGCAAGAAGAAAGGTGAAAAACCGGTCGTGCTTTGAGGGGCGGTGTTGTAGGCGTAGGTGACGAAGGGCAGTATAGTATCCCAATTCGTGTGGTTGGCGGCGACGTACATCGAAAGCATGTCGCCGAGGGTGCGGTTAAAGCGTTCGGTCAGACCATTCGTCTGCGAGTGGTAAGCAGTTGTTTTGCGGTGGACAGAATGGCACTCCGTGAGAATGGCTTCGACAACTTCTGACAAGAAGACATGGCCTCGATCGCTGAGAAGCTCCTGAGGTGGACCGTGGCGCAGTATGAATCGATGCAGTAGGAAGGACGCAATATCACGCGCAGTAGCCGCAGGGATAGCGGCGGTTTCGGCGTATCGCAGTTAAATGATCTACGGCGACGATGGCCCAGCGGTTACCAGCCGACGTCAGAGAAAGTGGTCCATACAAATCGATACCTATGTGCCCAAACGGACGCTCAGGGAAAGGTAACGATTGCAGACCGGCTGGTGACATGTGTGCTGACGGTTTTCGGCGTTGACAAGCGAGGCAGGAGCGAACGAACTGCTGCACGTAGCGGTACATCCCGCGCCAGAAGTAGCGTTGTCGAATGCGATGGTAGGTTTTGAATATCCCAGAGTGCGGGCATTGCAGATCATAATGAAAGGATTCACATATCTCTGACCGCAGACTGCGGGGTACCACGAGTAACCACTGCCGGCCATCGGTGTCGTAATTGCGTCGGTGTAGAAGGCCATCACGGATGGCAAAATGGCGAGCTTGACGACGCAAGGCACGCGTGGATGGCGTTGTGAATGGATCAGAGAGCAAGTCGATGAGCGGGCCGATCGAATTATCCTTTCGCTGTTCGGTAGCGATGATGTCAACATCAATGGCAGAAACAGCAGCCGAGGATACTGAGCAGAGCACATCACCTTCAGGCAGAGGGGAGCGCGAGAGGGCGACGGTGTCAGCATGCTGGCGTCTGTTGCGGTACAACACGTGGATGTCGTAGTCTTGTAAGCGAAAAGCCCAATGGGCGAGACGGCCTGAGGGATCCTTCAATGATGAAAGCCAGCATAGTGCATGATGGTCGGTGACGACATCAAATGGGCGACCGTACAAATAGGGTCGAAACTTTGTAAGGGCCCAGACGATCGCCAGACACTCTTTCTCCGTGACGGTGTAGTTTGTCTCGGCTCTCATGAGCGTACGGCTTGCATATGCTACGACATATTCAGGAAATTCGGGTTTGCGCTGCGCCAGGACAGCGCCGAGGCCTACACCGCTGGCGTCTGTGTGCACCTCCGTCGGGGCCGTAGGGTCGTAGTGGCGTAGTATGGCAGGAGACGTCAGCAAATGGTGGAGCTTCGCAAACGCGTCGTCACACTCAGACGACCACAAATTGAGGGGCCCGTTACTTCCAAGGAGCTTCGTCAGCGGTGATATAATCGTAGCAAAGTTTCGTATGAAGCGTCGGAAGTATGAGCACAGACCCACGAAACTTCGCAGTTGTTTGACGGACGCAGGTTTGGGTATTTCAGCCACGGCCCGAAGCTTGGCTGGGTCAGGAAGAATGCCATCCTTAGACATGACGTAACCTAGGATGGTGAGTTGCCGTGCTGCAAAGCGGCACTTCTTCAGATTTAGTTGCAAGCCGGCATTGCTCACACGTGCAAAAACTTCTTTCAGACGTTGCATATGCGTGGAGAAATCTGGGGCGAACACAACAACGTCATCGAGGTAACACAAGCACGTGTGCCATTTCAAGTTGCGCAGAACGGTGTCCATCATGCGCTCAAAGATCGCAGGTGCATTACATAGACCAAACGGCATGACGCTGAATTCGTACAAGCCGTCGGGTATGAAGAACGCAGTCTTCGGTTGAGCGTCATCAGCCATGGGTACTTGCCAGTACCCCGAGCGCAGATCGAGAGAAGAAAAAAATTCGGCTCCGTGAAGGCAGTCAATTGCGTCATCGATGTGCGGCAGTGGGTAAACATCCTTGCGAGTGATATTATTGAGCCGTCTGTAGTCCACACAGAACCGCACAGAACCATCTTTCTTTGCAACAAGAACAACAAGGAGACACCCATGGACTGTCCGAGGGCCGAATAACGTCGCGTCTGAGCATATCATCAACCTGCTCGTTATTTCCCGACGTTCAGCAGGCGACACGCGGTAGGGAGGTTGCCGTAATGGTGGATGGGTGCCTAGTGTCGATACGATGTGTAACAGCGGACGCGCGACCGAGAGAACTTCGCCTGACATCGAAAGAAGAATTATATTCTCGCAGCAGGTCTAGAAGCTGAGAACGCTGTACCGACGTAATATTGTCATCAATGTAGGGGCCAAATACATCAGGAGATGATGAATGATAAGTGGAAACAACGCTGACGGTACGCGAATCGGGACAACTCGAGTCATCAGGTACGTCCAGAACTTGTGCGTTATCCACTGATTCCTCTCTGCCGAGACATTCCCCTCAAACCAAGGTAACAGTGTACGGGGATGGGTTGGTCACAAAAATAGCGGCGTTGCTCTGGGTGATTTGCACGGTCGCGAAAGGTACTAGCAACCCTTTCCTTTGGCAAGCACGTTCGGATGGCGAAACGAGTGCAGTTGTGTCGGAGAGTCCAGCGCAGTAGACAGATACACCCATCGCCGAGCTTGGAGGCACTATGGTATCGTCTTTCACGAGAATCTTGCTCAGTTTCGAGGGACTGCCTTCCGGCGTCAAATGCGAGAAGGCTGAGAGTTCAATTTCGGCAGCGGCACAATGGATGACGGCGTCGTTGCGGGAGAGAAAATCCCACCCCAGGATGACGTCATGAGAGCATGCAGGAATGATGATGAATTGGCCGACATACAGAACGTCCTGAACGACAACGCGAGCTGTGCACTCTGCTGAAGGATGGATACAATGCGAACCGGCAGTACGAAGGGACAACCCAAAAATCGGCGGCGTCACTTTTCGAAGCAAGCAGCAAAAGTTTTCGTCCATAATGGATACTGCAGCTCCAGTGTCAATAAGAGCAGATGCATGAACACCGTCCACAAGCACGTCTATGACATTAGATGGGCCGCTCTGAGGGCTTTCACATTGCAATAGCATTGCAGTCCTTGCCTCAGGGACTGCGACGACTAGTTTTCCCGCTCATGAGTAGCCGAACTTGGCCTCATGGGGGACAGGGAACGACGTCGTGGAGACTGCCACTTTCGAGGAGATGGACCTGGGTGAGACGGCGGTGGCATAGACGGTGGTTCGTCGTGATAGGGACGGCTGATGTGGCCAGCAACAGGCGAAGAAATCGGAGCCGGCTCTATGCGATGGCAATAACGGGCTACGTGACCGGCGTAACCGCAGGCAAAGCAGATGGGCTGGTTGTCGGGTGTGCGCCATCGGTTCGCTGGGGTAGGTCTTGTCCATGACGCAAGAGCCGATGGACGAAACGGTGGCTGGAAAGGCTGCAGGGGGTGCTGGAGCTGAGTCTGAGAGGTCACGTCAACATACGTAGCCGGCATACCCGCTGCAAAGGATGGAGGTCGTGCGGCAGCTTCGGCGTAAGTCAGTGGGGCGGGCGGTTGAATGACTGGAGGCGGCCTGGCGACCACTTGGGCGTAACTTGGGGGCGCAGGGGCCGGAAGCTGTTGTGGTTCGTTCGCAGGCATGACCTCCGCTATTTCCTGCTCAATTGCTCGGTGGATGGGTGGAAGAATGGTAGTGGCTGATTGTTGAGCAGCCGGTGGGTGGGCAAAGGGCAGGAGAGAGAACTGCCACGCGATTTCCTCACGTATGAAGGACTTGAGGTCTGCCAGCAGTGCCACCTGATCACAGCTCGCCTCCAAGCCTGCAAGCCCTGCATCTCGTGGTGTGGAGCGATGGGTCATCGAACGCTGCCGGCGGAGCTCCTCGTAGCTCTGGCACAGGGTGATGACCTCAGCTACTGTGCCTGGGTTTTTGGCAAGCAGCATCGTGAAGGCATCATCGTCAATGCCCTTCATGACGTTCCGGATCTTGTCTGATTCGGACATGCTGTCGTTGGATTTCTTGCACAAGTCCAGGACATCTTCTATGTAACTGGTGAATGATTCACCGGCCTGCTGAGCGCGTTCGCTTAAGCGCTGCTCGGCTTGCAGCTTACGAACGGCAGGGCGGCCAAAAACGTTGGTGATAGCGGTCTTGAAATCGGACCAGGTTGCGAAATCGGACGCGTGGTTGTTGTACCACAAGCTTGCAACGCCCGCAAGGTAGAACACCAAGTTTGTCAACTTGCCGTCCTCGTCCCATTTGTTGGGGACGCTCACGCGCTCGTAAATGGCGAGCCAGTTCTCCACGTCAGTGCCATCGGCGCCGTGAAGATGGGTGGATCTCGGATCCTGGGGACACCGGGACAAGGAGGTGGCATGGAGGAGGCGTTTGCTGAGAGGCGTCGTGGGACATGGTAGATTGCAGGGTACGTGAGTGCAGTTCTAAGGGCATCGAAGGGGATTGTAGCACTCTCCAACAATTTGTTATGGTGTTTATTAGCAGGCACACAGCGAGTATACACAATGGCGACAGTAACGGCGAAGCACGGACTCTCAGCACGAGCGGCGTCCTTTTTGGGTAGACCCACTAGAGAACACTTGAGAGTTTGACCCACTTCAGTGTTCGACGGCTTCTCTACAGTATATATAATTATATGGTTTATAATTATTAATTCAATGTACTTTTTCTAAAACAAAAAAGCAAACATTTTATGCCACTTATTTTCACATAGCAGAATTCAGACTGATTTAGCATTGACAGTGTAATAGCACTTAGTGACATACTGTTTGTGACAGCGAGCATAAGTATTGTTGTATGAACCTACTGCTGGAGTTCTTGATAACCGTTTGAAGGGCACCTCATCTGAAGACAGTGACTCTAATAATAGCAGCACATCCTGTGCATGCACTTATGGGCCCAAAGAAGCAGCTGAAGATTTGATAAGGTAATCTTTGAAGAAGGTCTTTAAGGAAGGCACACGCTATTACTATCACCATGACTTATGTTCAGGCTGCTCTTAAAACAGCCATGATTAATTGAAGCTCTAGCTACCTCGAATGTTAGATTACTAAGCAAAAGTATGTCTATTAATGTTTGACTCCTGGGTAGACTTATCAAAAAAGGCTGCTGACGAGCAAAAAAGATGTACAGGGCCACCTGTAGTGGTGGGCCTATTCACATACACAATACAGTGGCATGGCATCCAGCGGCTTGAATAGATAGACAGACAATCAATCTGGGACAGTAAATTTGGCCATCTGATGTCTGTAGATTAAATTCCAGCATCATTCAAAAGCCATTGCACAAGTCAATTCCAAACCTATTGGTGAAATCATTATGTATAAATTACCTATATGTATGTAAATCTATGTATAGGAGGTGTCATGGAATATATTGAAGTTGAGCCACGTACTGTCCACACTGTAAGAGATTTCAGGGAGTAAGGAAAGCATGCATAATTTACAGCAGGTGATTTGATACTAAAGCATTATTATTTACACAAAAATATCTTGCCAGCGACCATATATTGTAACAAATTGAATCATGAAAAAACGGTACTAATCATTGACTTGGGGATAGCAATAGCTACAATGCACGTGACAAGAAGGAGCCCACAGGATGGTGCTTCAATCAATAAATCAGTCAAACAATCAAACATCCATGCAACCAATCAATCAATTAGCTTTATTGTGTTTTGTACTTGGAATGTACGGTTATTTGGAAGTTTTCGAGGGGAACACCAAGCAATTTGGGGCCCCAAATAATTATGTCATCGAGGCCGTTGTGTATTTGGATACATGCTACATGCATGCTTATTTTTAATGTTACTGCTGTCATGTGAGGCCCCCTCCAGGCACATTCAAGCTGTATAGTGCAGCTTTTCGCCTGAAGTACCTGCAAAAATTTTATGGGAAAATAAAACTATTTCTGATTTTGAAAACGAGTGTCCAAAGCACCACAGATTGTATTTGGAAACTTTTAGTTCCTACTTATTCCAAAGCGAACACATGCAAAATGCTTTGGGACCCCAAACTATTGGGCTCCCCTATTCGAAACACGCTGTCATTATAGAAGTAGGACCCCAAAGCCCCTTCAAGGGCTGTTGCAGGGGTTTGTTTGCTAACAGGAGTAGTTACTACTGAGCTGCAGAGCAGTTCAGTACATATAAGTGGGAAGAAATACAGTAAATTCATAAAATATACTCTGTAAATATATGTCAGTATAAACACACTGGAAGAATATTTATAAATACTACTCTTGTATGCTACTCTTGTATGTTTTGTAGGTGAGTGAAAACAAAGTTTTTATATAAATGAAATGAAGTGGATGATGCAATGGTACAAGGTAAAGAGTTCCAGATTTTTGACGCAGTAGAAGAAAATTTACATAATTAATACATAATATGTTCTTCATCCTGGAGGGTAAGATGCTGCCCGAAAAATGTGCACTGGAATGAACGCTGACAACAGACGAGCACAATGCACGCTATAATGGGACATAGTGTTTTTGATACAGTGTGCTATATATTTCTGCCGAAAGATTTGTTGCTAGTCAGGCCTAAGCTTCTCCTAATGTATTTTGTCTGTTATATACACTATTGCGCAAAAGCCTATGGTAAGTGCACGCCTCATGTACAGGCTTTACAATGTAGATTTTGGGGATACCATGTTGCAATCTTGCGATAATGTGCCAATGTATCTGTACTTTCAGGGAAGTTCACCACATGTGCGTCCTGCTGGGATACGGTGCAGATGCCATATGCCCGTATCTGGTGTTTGAGATGTGCGCCACGCTGCGTTCAGATGGTCTTCTGAACCCACCCCTCTCGGATGAACAAATCTTCAAGAACTATGTGGCTGCCATGGAGCGTGGAATCGCCAAGGTGCGTGAGGTCGCAATGTTAATGTGCATGTTATGTAGCTACAGCAGAAATTGGGTGGCTTAGTAAAATGTTGTGTGGGTACAAACACTGCCTTTCAAACTGAAATGATGAAAGAGCTGAACCTATTCGGTTGAGAAAATCACAGTAAGCTGCACAGTTAGGAGATTATCAGTAATTTCCAGCATGTTATTTTTTTTTTTTCATTTGTCTATCTCCCCTACATACTGCAAGGGTTAGATTGAAGCTGACGAGCAAAACCATCTCCATTAAGCAAAAAATATTTTACAGTGTATACATTACTGGAATACCCACCTTGAAAAAAAACACTACAAAGAATATACCGTATTTACTCGATTCTACCGCGCCCTCGATTGTAACGCGCACCCGATTTCCACCGCGAAAAAAAAAAAAGTAAGACATCGATTGCAACGCGCACCCATTTTTCTCGCTGGCCCGCACGATCACACCACTCGAAAAAACGACTCCTTTCGGGAGCGTCTTCCATTTAAATATGAGGTACGGGCGAAGCTTGTGCCCATCTGACGTGTAACAGAGAATTGCCGTCACTGTAGTTTTACCGTGGATCGATGTCAACACGCGAACTTGCTTCGCCCCTTTCTTCTCTACGGTTGTGGTGCCAGGCATGTCGAAGTAAAGAGGCGTCTGATCGGCATTCCCGATTTGCCCAAGCAGGTAGCCGTTGTTGCACCACAAGTTTAGGACGAACCTCTGAAAACTGTGAAGCTTTTCATCGTATTTCACAAAACTTTTCGCATATGTATGTTCCCCTTCGGAGGGAAAAGCCTTTCCTCTTCATAAAGTTAGCCAGCACCTGCTCACTTTAAACTGGCTCCGCATTAGAACTTTTTCTAAGACTAATTGCATAGCCCGCACTTGGAGCAGTTCTGTCGTCACGGACCGCTGTGCCGCTCGCTGCTCAAGCACATACTCGCCGAGCAGCTCTTTAATTTGCGGAAACCGACCCTACTGTGGCTCACTGAAGCCTTTGCGTGAAGCTTTGCTGTCGACAATCTTCTGCTTTTGTTTCCGCCGGTCCCGCACGCACGTTTCGGGAACTCCGAACGACCGCGACGCGGCCCGATTTCCGTTCGTTTCTGCACACACGACGACTTCTCTTTTAAAAGCGGCATCGTGATGCACTCGAGTTTTTGGAGTCGGCCCTTCCACGCCATCGATGCTAATGCACTACTAGATGGCGAACTCCTCAGCACACGTACGAAGTGCCGCACATGGGAAACACATAGGCAGAAATGGCTGAAGCGCCATGCCGACGCACGTAGGGGGCGGCCATTTTGGTTTTGCCGATGGCAATAGATTGACCGTAATTTTTTTTGTTCGTACTCGATTCTAACGCGCATGCGATTTTATGAACTCGCTTAACCGGAAAAAAGGTGCGCGTTAGATTCGAGTAATTACGGTAAGCTTTCTAATTTTTGATAAAGCATCTTTTGTTCACTTTAGGCTGAGCAGGGCATATAAACAGCACATTAATTTGGAAAGCAAAACTATACGAGAAAGAAAATGTACCGGGAGTTTAGAATTAAACTTTATGGCTTTCTGAAAATTAAGCACAGGGTGTAACGCGAAAACCATTTCTGCAGATAAGTTGTCACCTAGGGGGACACATAGTGAAGGAACAATTAATGCTCTTAGCTGCCCAATGAACTAAGAATGAATATTGAACATTTGATTAAAAAATAGTTCAATTGCATTTGGAATGAGCATATTTCAGGTTAATGCAAAAACATATTGTGGACTTAATTAGGTTTTGGTGCATAGTAAAGCATCTCAGTTGTCCAAATTTGTATCAGGCTCCCACGCTTACAGCGTGCCTTATAAACCATGTTGTGGGTGTGGAAAGCAAAACACTAGTATTTAGTTTAATTTCTGTCATGAACTCACAACCTTATTTTAGCTTTAGTGACACAAAATGTCAAAGAAACCTTTTTTACGAACAAAAAAATTGATGTGGATTCCAAGCATTTTTTTCTTTACAATGAGACATAAATGTTAAGGTTGATTTCAGAATTTCAATGAAAATGTTTATTGCTTCTGTATATAATATCTTGTTATTATTAGGAGTACATCATGCAATACTGTGGAGGCTTAAAGACAAACCTGTGGAAGGAATATTATTGAAATCCAGTGCAGCTTTCATGTATAATTAGAAAAGTCACAGTCGTACCACTCAGTCGGTCGGTATCATGAATACTAGTGATGGGTAATAGACTGTTAGAAAAATATTGACGCAACTCAGTTTCTACATGCCTACTACTAGTCTCGGACAGCTGTTCTTTCTACTACAATACAATTTTTTACATTGCAAATATGATGATTGAAAATATGATTGCCTTAGAAATTTTGGCTAATGTAGTTACGTTTAGCACTCATTTGATTGCTTCGTGCTGCTGATTGTAAGAGTTTTCATTGCTTACATTAGTCTTATTTTTGCCACACTATAATAGCTGCTGTCCCATGTCTCTGTGCAGGTGATGGCCAAGATGGGCATCTCAACATTGCACAGCTACAAAGGGGCTCAGATTTTTGAGGCCGTGGGTCTGGCCCAGGAAGTGATTGACGTCTGCTTCCGCAACACTGCCTCCCGCATAGGCGGCGCCACATTTGAGGTCTGTGCTGTGGGTTGCTGCATTGTAAATTAGTCTGTGCAGTGTCTACCGTAAACACTGCATTATTCTTTCTACATACAACCACCATTGCCATGAGTACTGGTCACAATACTGGCTAATACCTTAATCCTTTGAGAATCGCATTAAATGCAAAGCATTCCTTTGCATACTGTAGGCACTGGAGCGTCTGTCTGTCCATTCGTCCGTCCATCCGTCCGTCCGCCTGTCTGGCTAGTTATAATGTCACAATCCGGTTCCTTATGTCACCAAACCCTTTACGCCAGACGTGTGGCACATACTTGCATACAGGTGTGCTTGTATGCGCCACAGGTGATGGACAGTTTATATCTATTCAAGAACGGCGAGAACAGACATGGCTAAATTTAGTGGGTGAGCATTAAATAAAAGCTGACATTCGCAGCATTGACCCGACGAATGCAAAGAATAAATGTCAGGGCCCCAGCAGGAATCAAACACCAGCATTCTGCATGGCAGTCAAGTATTGTTTCTACAGAGTCACGCCATGTCATGACTACATTTTTAATAGATCCTAATGTCCGTTAAACATCACTTGTGGCTGCAGTGCTGGCTATCCAATTTTATAAACATTACTTATGTACTCCTATGATAGATCCGTCTTGTTGGGTTAACGTCAATTGTAGTTAGGCACCATCACCTGAAGTTAAATTATGTAGCAGTGTTCAGGGCTACCATTCTTTCTAGCACAAGTACTTCATATTTGCTTACAGATTCATGTTGCTGTTGGTGTCATTAAGTAACTGTAAGCAACTGGTTATATAAAAGATAAACAGTTTAACGTATGTCTGTGCATCATCATCCTCATCATCAGCCTGATTACGGCCACTACAGCGCAAAGGCATCTCCTGTGATATGCCAATCTATCCGGTCTTGTGCTTTTCGTTGCCACATTACACCTACAAATTTTTTAATCTTATCGGCCCGCCTAACTTTCTGTCTCCCCTTTGTATGTTTGCTTTCTCTGGGAATCCTGTCAGTGCATGTGTTTGTACATATCTTAAGCGGCACTTTGTTACGTTTTGCTCAATAAAAGTGATTACAACAGAGTCACCTTCCATCCACTTGCTTCTCGTAACAGCGATTCCCAGTGTATATGGGATCTTCGGAATTTTTCTTATATGTAAAATGCTCTACAAAAATGTGTATAATTTTATTGCTGGATTAAGTTTTTCAGGCAATTCTACTTGAAAACGAATTCTCTAGAAATTTTTTGCATGACCATAATATGACAAAAAATCATTTATGCTGTTGTATACACAGGGCTAATTTGGAGATAACATCAAGCGAAATACTAAAAAAAATGTTTTTCTACGAATAAAATTTACATGCTGTATTAAACTTTGCTCACAGGCATACATCAGAGTACTTTTCTAGTAAAAAAAAAAAAGTGGTTTTTGCACAAACACTAACACCCACCTTTGAACCAGTTTAGATTGTCTTATCGTGCATGCTTTCAAGGTATAGCTTAATCATCATACGAGTCTGAACTCGTAAGCAAATTCTCATCTGACGAACTGACACCCAACTAATCAGATTCTGATTCGGCACTTGTGGAATAGTCTGCATCGGAAGAATTGCCAGCCGACAGCTGTAAAGCAACCAGCGCGCAGTTCCGTAGCGCAAGTCAACTGCGTTAGGGAGGGCACAGACGAAAACTGTGTGTTTGTGTGCCCGTCTGCAAAGCAAAAGGAGTGAAAAAGCTATAGTTATGTATCGGCCTATTGCCGACAAGACAGAGTTGTTTTTAAATGTCCGCAAAACAGGAAGTGCAAGCACAGCAGCATCATTCCTGTAATTTAGCACCACACGGAAGTAGATGTAATCGAGCCTCAGGGAACAAAAAATAAGAAAGAAACAAGCGGCCAACCAGACAGCATGGTGGGAGCGAGAAACCATGACTACTCCAAGAAAGAAACTGGAACAAGATGTGCACGTGCTTTTAGATGCACAGCGGAAGCCAGTGTGCTGCTTTGGAAATAAAAAAAAATGGAGAGACATCGATGCATGAGAAAAATTACCATATTCTCTAAGTGTGAAAACACATGCCAAGCAAAAGAAATGATTGAGAAAGGCATGTGTTTTAAACATACTAGCTTTCCTGTACATATATGGCGTTCATTCTTTGGTGCCTGTTCGGTGATGCCCTACATGCAAGGTGTAAAACCTGAAAGGGTTAAAGGTTAGTTCTAAATAAAGATTGACAAATATATAATAAGGTTGATGATCTCCTTAAGTTCTTGTTTTCAACGTCTGTTCCTAGGTGAAAACTTGTAGGTGGCAATTTAAATGGTTTCAACTGACATTAACTGGCATCAACTGCCTTGAATTCTTAAACAACTGGTCCCTGTTACTAATTATGACTTTTGGTCCATTTGCTTAATTGTGACAATTACTTTCTGGCCACTCCATTTTCTTTTTTCAGTTTGTTTTACATAGGGAATGCTCAGTGTGTTGTCATTTGAAATGCGCTCATTTCATGCTGTTTCCCCTGGGCGCTGTTCTAGGTGCTGGCCAGAGAGTTGGTCCAGCGTCACGATCTGGCCTACACGGGCCGCGAGTTTGACAACCTGGTGCTTCGTAATTCCGGCTTCTACCATTGGCGCAATGGTGGTGAGAGCCACGTGAATGACCCAGTCAGCATATCCTCATTGCAGGAAGCTGCCATGTGAGTATCCACTTGCGACTCATTTATCGATATGACTGACTATGTCAATTTGACTAAAATGTAGTTACTGAACTTAACTAACATACTTACTGATGGAAATAGCCTAAAATCAGGACACAGATTCGATGCAATTGATTTGGTTTGTGTGAGTATTTGAATGAATATTCGAATTCACTTTGATTTGAATTGAAATTGTTTAAACTTTTCAAGTATTTGAAATGAACAAATATGTGTATGTTAGTTATCATGTATCCCCCCCCCCCTTTTTTTATAAAGGTTGCTACACTGCAACAAAGGATTGCTAAGCCTTGAAAGTACCTATCTAGGTCACTACAAATCTACATGTCACTTGTTTTTGTAAAGATGGTTTCACTGTAGTAACGGGGTGCTAAGCTGTGAAAACACCTATTCAAAGAAATTTACATGGTTGCGAAGCCCCACTTCAAAGTTAAATGAATGAATGGCCCTCACATCTATTCATCATATTTCAAGCTTAAAAGCTTGTTATACCAGCTTGTAAGCTCCAAGTATTGTAAATTTTGAAACTTTAGATATTTTACAGGTCATCACTTGCATTCTACTGAAAATCTAATCTTGCTACTATTTAAAGTTCTGCGTCCGCTTCCTTTGAGCCTAAGAGAATGACATTGGCACAGGCCTTGTCTGAATTAAAGAAAAATAAATATATTGTGCAGGTTAGTTGGGATACGACAAATTTGCTAATTTTTCTTTATTATATGTGATATATAATATTAGAATTTGATTCGAAATTATTTGACGAAAGTTTTGGGACATTAAACCCCACATTGTCTGTCTGTCTTTCTTTCTTCTTTCTTTCTTTCTTTGACCAAAATCATTATTCGATTCAAGTTTGCTTCGAACCTAATTTTCACTATTCACACAAGCCCACAATTTATCCAAAGGCTGGCTACGGTGAACTGCATTTGTCATTGTCCACTGCATGACAAAGGCCTCTTCCATGTTCCACTAATGAGCCCAGTCCTGTGCTTTCTGCTGCCACGTTATACCTGCAAAACTTTTCAATCTCATCTACCCACCTAATTTTCTGCTTCCCCTTCATGTGTTTGCCTTCTCTGGGAATCCAGGCGGTTACCTTCAATGACCAGTGGTTAACCTGCCTACGTGCTGCGTGCACGGCCCTCATCTATTTCTTTTTTTTCTTGATTTCAACCATGATATCCTTAACACTGGTTTGTTCCCTGATCCACTCTGCTCTCTTCTTGTCTCTTAAGGTTACACCTATTGTAATTCCTTTCTATCACTCGCTGCGTCGCTCTCAATTTAAGTTAAACCCTCTTTGCAAGCCTCCAGATTTATGCTCCGCAAGTGCCGGTAGGATGCAGCAATTAGATACGTTCTTTTTGAGGGATAGAGGCAATCCGTTATTCATGATTTGAGAATGCTTGCTGAATCTGCTCTATCCCATTCTTCTAGTTATTTCTGTGTCATCGTTCAGCTCCACGGTTGCACCTGTCCTAGGTGCACATATTCCTTTACAACTTCATGTCTTTCCACCTATGGCAAAGCGCTTTTGTCTCTCGAAACCATGGCAGTGGTGTTCATTGCATATTTTTGTGTATTGCAGAAAATATTGGCGAGTGTTGCAAGTGAAATAACCAGCCGGTACCAGCATTTCTTCCCCATCTTTCACATTGTGCAGGTCTCAACCTTGTTGCTGTGTTCACCTGTACCTTCAAAATGCATTTGAATCATCTGTATTTACACACCAGCATTGCTGTTTAGGAAGAAATATGTGTTATAAATGTGGTAACAGCTACAAGATTTCCGCTAATTGATTTACCATGCAGCTTCAAATCTATACGATGAGCATGTCATCATCTTAATAAGAAAAACATGCAGTATAAAAGTCTGTTAATAAGTAGTCTACTGATTTTATCACATATACTCAATTGGAACGCTGCCAATATTGTAGTTTGAGGGGTGACTTACCATAGCATCTAGAGAAAAACAAAAAATAATAAATAAAATAATTTTGTCTATCCCTGCACTTTTTAGACAACTATAGTTTGTGAATTTCGCTATTTGATCGTACGCGAGGGTCGACATCTGGTAACATAGGTCTGGAAAACTCGGGTTACATTAGAGTAAATATGCTATTAGCAATTATGTCTAACTGTGTATTTTAGCCCACAGAAGGACTAAAAGAGTGCTGCAGCCTACAAGCAGTTCTCAAAAGATTTGTTCAAGAAAAGAAAAAAAATGAGCATTTTATAACCTGGACTCCTGTTCATGTTGCATCAACAGGTCCAACAACAAGGACGCATGGGACCGCTACATTGAGAATGCAATGAAGAGCATTCGGCAGTGCACTCTCCGTGGGCAGTTTGAGTTCAACTACGCCAGTACGCCGCTGGACATCTCACAAGTAAGTGTTCAATTGAATTGCTTTTCCTTTGTTGAGCATATGCATAGTGAGTCTGCCGATAATGTACGCCTTTCCCACGAAATTTCTTGGCCAGAATTTTCTGTCTAATTTATAGAGCTGTGCAAATATCAAAATTCCCTGTGCATAACAAGTTCAAGTATTAAAGTTTGAGTACAAATCAAATCAAATATTTTTCTATCAGCTTTTGAATATTTGTTTATTGCATGGCAGTACTTTGCATGGTACAAATGAGGATGAAGCAAAGAGACACACGAACGAGCACAATCTAACACTAATTTTTTTGAATAAGTACTTCGAAGTGTAATACTACAGAAAAACTTACCAGGCCTGCACAGAACACAGAGCACAGTTACAGTGAAAGCTGGAATGAGCAGCCTTTTTAGAGCCTTTTTAAACACTTTCTTTAGGTAACTGCAACAAGCATACTTGAAATTTACCCACTGTGCCACAAATCGTAATTTTTGTGTATAGGGAGGCATCCACGATTCGATTCTGTTACCCGCTGCACACTTGCAAGTATTTTGAGCATTTTTTATGCTGTGGCTGATGACATTGAAGGATTATGACTGAGGCATTTGTGATAGGTTGGAGCATTCCATGACCCACTTGTAACTGAATTTGCACTGTGTGGCACCTGGTTGTTCCTTTGTCGTTCTAAAACGTTTATTATAAATATTAATGCAATTTCTTTCCCGACGCATCGTGAAGCCTGCCTAGAGTCAATTTGCAAAGGAGTTTCAAGTGCCGGCGTGGCATAGTGATAGAATACTGAGCTGGCAAACATGGGACCCAAGTTCGAATTTTATTGTGTCCTAAATGTTTTTACTTCAGTTTCTGTTTCCTTATTTCATGTGGTAGTAGTTACGGACGCCGGTGGTGGTGGCGGACAGCTACAGCACCAAAAATGACCCCTGTTGTGATCTCATCACAGCTTTCACAGTAAAAAGGTTCCAATCTCTAAGCACAATTCTTATGAAATAGGAGCAGGAAAAGTTTTTATTTTGGCTAGGTTGTTAAAGTGCTGTAGGCATGGTGTTCCCTAGTTTTTAGCAAAGTTGTGGCAATGCAGAGACCGAATTGTATTTATTCACAAGATTCGGTGCAATCACAGTGGTGTCCACAGCCCTTCACACAGGAAAGAAAAAAGCTGTATTTCCGCCACCTCCCCCGTCTTCAACTTCCTGTGAAGCCCAACTGATTTGGTAGACATGGGCGTGCTCCCTTCGAATTCAGAGTTGCTAATCTACCCTGTATATGTCAATGTATAAAACCATCTGAAATTTCGAATGCTAAAAATATGCATTCGATTTTTTTTGGACTTTTTGGTTCGACACGGCATAAATGAAGGCCACCATCTATGCGGCATAGGTTCGAACCGGTGCTTTTATGCGTCAATTCATTTATGGTCGTAGTTGAACCCTAAAGGCAGCTTTGCGGTGATACCACAATGTAACAGCACAATGCATTTCCATGTAGGAATGGGCGTTTACTCTAGTTAACGCGATAGCTGCCTAGCAGAGAGTAAAAGGCAGCTTCTCCGCAATGTAACAATACATTGGGGTGAAGCATATTAAAATTTTGAAGGGGTCATTGTCATATAAACTGTATGTTTATATGACAATGACAATTGATACAGCACGTAACTGTATTTGTCATCAGGAAGCTCGAATAGTTCGAATAGTCGAAATTTTAGTTCGAATCAAATTGAATAGCTCAAACTATTCAAAATATGTTTGAAAGGTTTAATATTCACTCAGCACTAGTATTTTACACTTGGACGAGTATCAGTTGTTATTGGCCGTCACTAAAGCAGAAGCTTCACTATCTAGTTTCCCTAACAATCACATTTTAAACAGTGGTCTTTGAACTACTAGGCACAAGAATGCCTTTGATGCCTTTGAATGAATCATGTTACCTTTGGTTCACAAAAACTGCACAGACTTGAAACTTCACTCTTGTAGGTCAAAGCAGGAAATGCTTTCAATTGTTGTGTTCTTTGCAGCGCATACTTGCTTTTGGGGCTTACTTAATTGACAGTGTCCCGAAAGGGCTGAACAAAGACTTGCAGTTTATTAAGGATAAAACTGGGGAAGTGCTCGCAAAGATATGCGTAGCTGAATACTTCTATTGTGGGAAGATGCAGTGCTAAAGAAAAGTGTGTAGGAACAGAGATGGCCGAACAACACAGCATGTGCTCATGTCACGCTTTTGTGCCATCTTTGTCTCTCCATGCTGTTTATGTCAATCAATCTGCACCAATTTGTCCAGTTTACTGCTTTGCATTTTACAGTAGACTCCTAATAAACGAAACTCTCTCAAATGAAATTCGCTGCTTAAATAGAACAATATGCTCGTAATATGTTTGGTTTCGTACTTGAATATTATATCCCTGTTTATCTCTCAATAAACGAAACTCCTCTTAAAGGAAACACATTCTCCTGGTCCCTTCAGGCTTGGAGTTATGTACATCGACACTGACTTATATTGAATTTGAACAGGATTGGCTAGAGTTTCACGTATAGACAATTTGTAATTTAAAATGACCCTGTCTAAAGATTATCTGTCAACTCCCCACATCTCGGATGACCTCTCTATATTGTGAGAATCGAAAATTTGCTGGTTCAGTTTTCTTAAATTTGCATCAAAGACATAAAGACATAAATTTCTTTCACTCCTTGTTCCAGGAAGCACATATTAAACGTAGAGGCCTTTTTATCAGGGAGCACATTAGTTCACTTATAGTTCCCATTCGGTTTGTGTGTCTGAAGTGCTAGCTTCTTTTTTTAATTTGTATTTAGGTTATGTTGTGTGAGGTAATTAAAGGCAGTTTTATCTGTGCATTCCAGGTAGAGCCTGCGAAAGAAATTGTCAAGCGCTTTGTGACGGGCGCTATGAGCTTTGGCAGCATCTCCATCGAGGCGCACACCACGCTGGCCATTGCCATGAACCGTGTGGGCGGCAAGTCCAACACTGGTGAGGGTGGCGAGAATGCCGATCGCTGGGCTCTTCAGCACCCAGACAACAACAAGCGCTCTGCCATCAAGCAGGTGTGTGCTTGGATATTTGTTTCATACATACAGTCAACTCTCACTTGTATGAATGTTTAACAAATATTTCAGGATAACGAGCTTCTAGAGAACCCTGGCAGTTTTCCTGCCAAAGTTCTAGAGAACCCTGCGCAAAAATTTTTCAGTTGAATGAACTTTTCAATAGTGGATATTTTAGATTTGCAGCAGCTTTTCAACTAGCTTGTGTAACGCTGTCTCTCCTACTGCGCACGTCTGCACACACCCTTGCTGCACACCCCTAGTGCACATCTGAGAACTGGCTAACCTCCATGTCCTTCCTCATTTATTCCTCCTCTTCCTCCTAGTGCACATGCCCACGTCTTGCATCACGTGCCACATGCTTGCATTTCATGCCGAGACACGCATGCTCGCATCTCTTGTGGGCCCAGGGAGACATTCACAAAAGTGTCGCTCCCCTTCCCCTTTCTCGCCTCGCAAGGCTGATGCAGGCACTGTCTGTCAGTAAAAAACCGACTGCTCATGCTGCACAACCGTTCACTAGCCACCCAGTATGTGTAAGCACTAGATCGCGCGTTCGGAATTGAGTCAGGGGTGTCTTCACTTGGCTTTCGCTTTATGAGTGCCAGCATCAACGTTGCTGCCAGTGTAAGTGTTATCAACTTCTCCTTCACATCTACTCATGGTTCTCTTTAGAGGGACATGGTCCAGGTTTCAGTTGTGTGAGCTTGACCCTCAGAGCTGTGCTCATTTCTCTTCAACAAATTTTCGCATTATTTAGCACTGCTGCAGGCAGGTTCAAATCGTGTATCCTGGCTGAGGCTGTAGGATATATTAAACAGTTGCAAAACTTTATGTCACAGCAACAACCTGTGCCAGAGGCAGTGCGCAGAAACGTAGACTTTCTGGACAGCTTTGTGTCTTCTTATGCTTTAATCCATCGGCTTTCGTGCTCTCTGCAGTCATTCCTGCTTGTTATACAGCCTGAAAATTTTTGCACCGGCCTGGCATTATTGGTTGGTGCACTAAACTGCAATAAAATTCACAACAAATGTCATAGAATAAGAAACTTTGTTTTATTCCCTTAACAACGGTTGAATGCACATCAGTTGCTTCAGTATGACTTTCGTGTCTGAAAAAGTTTAAAGCAGATGGGCATGCGAAGAGCAACTTCACATTTTTCACACTCCCATCAGGTCTCAATCTTGTTTCCTTGTGCCTTACATTGACTAAGAGAAGTGCAAATGAATTTGGCTTGACTCTGTTTACCAAAATGTGGTGATAAAAATAAGCCCATTTGGCAGCTTGTAGTCGCATTGCTGAGGCCAGAACGCCACGTTTCTTCCAAGTTTCATATGCGACGCGATGTTTCAAAAAAGCCACGATAGTGCACTTTTGCCTCTCAGGACAAAAAAAAAAAAAACACTTACAAAGAGCTATGAAACATAGACAACTATGTCAATTCAGCGGATAATATACCAAGAAAAAAAGGTAAACACAAACTACTGTGCTACCATCTATGAAACAAACTAAAAAAAGAAACGGTTTTTAGGCGGCCGGTGATTCTCGGGTCAAAGCGCTTTTGGCCTTGCCAAAACGGCCGGCGAAACACCAGCTGCGGAAGCCAATCGGTTATTAGCGCCAGTTCAAATGAAAATTACCTAGTTTTTTTTTTTTTTTTTTTTTCAAATATGTAGCATTTTACCCGTTTTACTTGACATCTGCTGTGCCCAATGCTGTTCCGTATTCTAGTGAATATTCAGCTTAGTGAACTTTTCAAGTGATCTATTTCCTTCGGTACCCTGAAATGAGGGTTCACTGTATTCAGTGAGCGTCATAATGTGAATATGCAGTCACACTCTAATAAAAATGAACGCACTGAAACCAACAGACAGTGAAACCGAGGAAAGTTGAGGGGACAATATTTGTAGTGTAGCAATTAACGTATAACTGTAAAATTTTTTCGGGTGGAAAACCAAGATCTGAAATTTACATGCCAGTAAAGCCCCCTCCCTACCCTCTTCTCCACTTTGAAGATAATTTTGGCTTGCTGAGAAGGGAAGCACTCGCTCGAAATTTTACCCACAGTGAATGTAACAAAATTGAAGTGAACGGAAAGACAATTCGCCACCATTAAGGGCCAGGCCTATAACTTTTGAATATTCTGTTTGATGCTCTATCGAATGAGCTATGGTGGTGATGGGCATCCTCCCATTCGCTTTGTTGGGTGTTCCTGTGCATGTAAATGTGGGAATCGTTAGCCAGCATTGCTCGTAGCCATGACAGCAAGTGTGAGACACTCTCTTAATTCACTTTTTTTTTTGTCAGCAAAACAAAACAAAAATTTGATGTGCTTCTATATGGCACACATGACAAGTGTCAAAATGGTAGCTGTAATCAGTTGTTTACTAGTGTAATGATTGTGTTTGTTGAACAGTGGACATATGCAAGAAGCCAGATGCAAAGCCATGCAGTGTGTGATGATGTGTGTTGCACTTATGTTTCTCTCAGGTTGCTTCAGGGAGATTTGGCGTGACATCGGCCTATCTGGCCAACAGCGATGAGCTGCAAATCAAAATGGCTCAAGGAGCCAAGCCAGGAGAAGGCGGTGAACTGCCTGGATACAAGGTTACGTTGCTTCATAAAACAGTTTATTTTTACTTGGAGTCAATAACTCTCTTTCCAGCACCAATGTTTAGCTGTATACTGTCTGGTTAGGTAGCATCAGCTGAATTGCTTGCTAGAGCGGTACCTTGTTTCCACCCTGATGTCACCGAAATGATAAAATTGTACTAGTGCCCTCTGTAGTTAGTCGCTAAAATTTATATTTTACTGTGCACCTCATATTACGCAATAATAATTATTATGGACTAGAAACGTCAATGCTTAATACCAATAAATTTAAAAGAAAAGCATGAACAAACGTATGTTTCTTAGAGGGTAGTTTGTGAAGGCATTATATTTTTTTCAAAATATTTTGCTGATTTCCCTAGTCAGAAGTGTGCTATGTTAGGCCTTGTTACAGAATTTGGTGCCTACTAGATTAGGATGGATGTTGAACACACAAGAAGTGTCTGTGGATTAGATTGAGAAGCACATATTAAAACTGGGTAAACATTGCTGCATGATTACGGAGTTAGACAAGGAGAGCAGGAAGGTGGGTCTTAAAATTAATCTGCAGAAAACGAAACTAATGTACAACAACCTCGGAGAAGAGCAGCGCTTCGAGATAGGTAATAGTGCACTTCAAGTTGTAAAAGACTGTCTATTTAGGGCACGGTAATAACCACAGAGCCAAACCACGAGATTGAAGTAACTAGAAGAATAAGAAGTGGGTGGAGCACACTTGGCAAGCACTCTCAAATTATGACAGGTAGATTGCCACTATTGCTGTATTGGGGGCTGGCTGGTCCCGACGAAGCAGAAGAAGAAGACGGCCGACGGAGACGTACGCGACCGGCGGGGACGCCGACCAGCCCTAACACGCGGGTTGGCGCGAAGCGCCGAAGAGAAGAACAACAACCGCGCTCCACGGTTACCCAACGCACACTGCTTTTATTTTACAGTCGCCTTGAAATCCTGGATGCCAGAGCGGCGCCCCCTGGCATCCTCACATGTCATTCCGAAACCGAAACTGACAACCCAAAACACAGCATTCATCCCCTCTTCGAAAGAAGTTCCCCTATACACTGTTTATATCTATACATGATTGACACCAACGTATTATACAAGGTATGTACATTAGAACACATGAAAATTCAGAGTACGGCACACTGAACTCACACGCGAGTCCTGAAAATGCACTGAAAAAAAAAAAAAAGTGTACACAACTCAGTACAATATTGATTTTGATGCATTGGACCTTTGCACAGAACAATAATGTTCACCAACAGTAATTAACAAGAGTTCTACATCACATAGTCTTCGAACTGACGCGGATTCTGCTGCTTCCGCTTAGGGCGGGCCCTTTTGGGTGTAGAATCAGGTGTCTCTGCCCCTTGGTCACTTGTGCTCTGATGTGACACATCAAGAGCAGTAGAAGATTGTAAGGCTCTGAACGAGCGTTAAAATTCGTGGTCTCATCAGAGCTCGCAGCATGAGCTTCCGAAGAATTTTGCGGACCAGAGTTCGGTTCAACGGTCTCAGCCGTATTTGAAGGTTCGAAGGGAACCGTATGACTTGGTGTACTTGAACCAGTGACACCGACTGGTAACTCCTCCCCCCTTGAAGAAGAAATGCCTGTACATGGAGGCCACATGTAACAGTCTGATGCATAGTTGAAAGGCGTGGACGGAACGTGATGGGGAAGACTTTTAGGTGTTGAAGGTGAATTCATATGAAAAATAACAAGGCGCGAAGCATTCCAGATGTTACCATCACTTAAGCGAAAAGAAGTGGGGCTATTCTGGCCCAATACTTTGTAAGGACCCCGATACTTGGGGCGCTTGCCTGGCAAACGAACCTTGACTAGATCGCCAGTGCGAACTTTGGACTGCTTTGCACCTCGACAGGTGTCAACATACTTTTTCATTGCTTGTTGATGAGAAAAAACCCTGGTACGGATTTGATCAGGAGAAGACATTGCTATGTTACGAGGCAAAGAGACTATGTCAAGAGAAACTCGCGGTTGCCTACCGTGGAGAAGTTGAGCAGGAGACACTCCAGTGGTGCCTTGTGGTGTGAAACTGTACGAAGCTAAACACTCAGTCAAGACCTGCTTGAGGGGACGGTGCTCTAATTGGGCGATCTGGATATGTTCCTTCAGAACGCCATTAAAGCGCTCGATTTGCCCATTTGATTGAGGATAGAAAACTGATGACCTCAAGTGCTGAATTCCTCGTTGTGAAAGAAAAGCCTCGAAATGTTGGGACTGAAACTGTGGACCATTGTCCGTAGCTATGGCATCAGGAAAACCTTCCCGGCTGAAGATTGAAGACAGAAACTCAATGATGACCTCAGAAGTAACCGTATGTGTGAAACAAAGCTCTGGCCATTTGGAGTGGTAGTCGATGAGAGAAACAATGAACCGGGCATTTTGCGGAACATTATGCAAAGGACCGATGATGTCCATGCCGAGTTTCTGCCAAGGCCGATCAGGCCACTGGACTGGCTGCAAAGGAGAAAATGCAAGTTTGGAAGACTTGTCAGCTGCCTGACATATATGGCAGTTGTAAACTGCATGCTTGACCTGCTTGTCTAAGGCTGGCCACCAGTACCTGTCTCGGAGGTTCTGTTTGGTGCGGGCAATGCCTGGATGGGCCTCATGGGCAAGCTGTACTAGCTTGTTACAGAAAGTAGCTGGGGGAATCACGCGTTCATCGCGGAAAAGCAAGTCCTCGACACAAGACAGTTCCTGTCGGACTGCGAAGTAAGGCACGAATTCAGAAGCAAGAGCACATTTGGAAGGCCACGTAAATATTTGAGAACTTGAGACAAAGTGGAATCTGCAGCTGTAGCTGCCTGAAGCTCAGCTTTAGTAATGCAGGAAGTAACTAATGAAACAACTTCCTCATCCCGCTCTTCAATAACCGGTATCTGAAGAGGAAGGCGCGACAGTGCATCAGAAACCACGTTATCAGAACCTTTACAATATTGAACACTGAAATTATAAAACATCAGTTTGGCACACCAACGGGAAATGCGAATGGTGCGGCGGCCTTCGGATCCTGCAGAAAGAAGAGCAACTAGTGCTTGGTGATCTGCACGTAATGTGAAGTGCCGGCCCCACAAGTAAACATGCCATTTCTCACAGGCAAAAAGACACGCGAGAGCTTCACGCTCTCCTACTGAATATCTTCGTTCAGCAGGGGTCAATGTACAAGATGCAAAAGCGATAGTGATCAGCTGATCACCTCTGAGTTGTTGAAACACTGCTCCCAGTCCAGTCCAACATCCCAGTCCAGTCCAACATCGGACGCATCCGTCGTGATGACGATGGGAAGCTTCTCATTGAAAATACTAACAGCTGGCTTTGAGGCCAGTATTGACTTAACTCTGAAAATACTAACAGCTGGCTTTGAGGCCAGTATTGACTTAACTCGAATGAAGCTCTGCTCAGCTTCAGCTGACCAGTTAAAAGGCTGTGCTTGACGAAGTAGAGTACGCAGTGGTTCAATAACATCAGCATAGTGAGGAACAAACTTGGCATAATAACCAACAAGACCTAAAAAAGATTGCAGGGTTTTGGCGTCAGTAGGCCGTGGGGCATTGACAATGGCCTGAACTTTAGATTCAATAGGTGTCAAGCCGCAGGAACTGACATTATGTCCTAGAAATTGTAACTCATTCATAGAAAAAATGCACTTGTTATTAAGTTTCATACCACATTCACTGATGCGGTTGAGAACAGTATGCAAGTTAGCATCGTGCTCTTCGCGAGTACGTCCCCACACCAAAATGTCATCCAAGTAACAAAGGGCGCCATTACAACCCTTAAGAATAATTTACATCATTTTCTGAAACACTGCAGGGGCAGATGCAAGCCCAAAACACACGCGGCGAAACCGAAACAAGCCTTTGTGCGATACAAATGTGGTTAAGTCGCTACTGCACTCAGAAAGTTCAACTTGATGATAAGCGGACGCGAGGTCCAGCTTGGAGAAACATACCGCTCCGGAGAGCTGATGAAGCAGTTCTTCGATGTGAGGAAGTGGAAACCCATCTACGACGATCGCCTTGTTTGGTTCTCGTAAGTCGACGCATAGTCGGAGGGATCCATCTTTTTTCTTGACGACGACCAGTCGAGAAACCCAGTCGGAAGCAGAGACAGGCTCGATGAATCCGCTGGCTTGAAGGCGAGACAGTTCCGCAGAGACTTGCTCACGGAGAAGAAGAGGAATGCAGCGCAGCTTGGCACGCACAGGGCACACACCTGGTCGACGCATCACTTTATGCACAAAACCGCGCACACAACCCAGTTCACGGGTGAACAGGCGGTGGAATTCAGAAGGCGCGTTGGCCGGAAGATCATCTTGGACGTCGACTTGAGCACACGTCATAGAGGCACCGACGATGTTGATGGACAAAGGCCTGATGGCATAACGTCCCAAAAGCGAGCTGCCATTGACAGTTACATAAAAAGTAATGGAAGCAGTGCGACTGTGATAGGAGACCTGAGCTGTAAAATGACCTAATATATCAATCGTTTTCTTGGAATATGTTTGTAGAACGACGCGTGAAGGCAAAAGCCGAATGTTGGAAAAATGACTATGAAAGTCAGCGGCACTGAATAAAGAGACTGAGGCACCAGTGTCCACGAGAAATACAAGGGAACATGGCCCACTGAAGCTACGATGCTGGGCTCGGACGTAGTGTAGAGGCCATCCACATTTAAAACAGTGACCGTATTGGTCTGTGCAGTGCTTGAAGGAGTGGACGAAGAAACTGGTTCAGCAAGATTTGCTGGATGGGAATTGCATACGGACTGAAAATGTTCGATTTTTCCGCACGCAAGACAAGTGCGGTTTCACGCGGGACACTGCGCAAAATTGGCTAAATGCCGAGCCGATCCGCAATGAAAGCAATGCGCGGTTGCGCTTGGAGAAGAAAATTGCGAACGCGAGTTAGGAGCTCAGTGCTGTTCCTGAAAACCAGAATTTGGCAGAATGGGGTCGCCATATTGCCGGCTTCTTCGCCCACGCGACGCAGAGAGGCCGCCATGTTGGCCGCCATGGAAGGACTGTGCAGGCAGGCGTCCATGTTGGCTGCCACGCCGAGACGAAGGGCCGCCATGTTGATGCATCCCGTGAAACAAAGAGCCGCCGCCTTGGCCCCCCGCAGCAGAAAGTTGCTGCACTGAATGCGGAGCGAATTGCTCCAACTGGGAGCGAATAAGCTCGTCCTCTCGCGCAATCGAGAGGGCTTCGGATAATGAAATTGAGGAGCCCTTTTGAAGCATGCGGCAGCGGGCGTTTTGCAAGGCTACCCCGGTAAAAAGCTGATGGCGGATCATATCGTCCTCGAGCGCACCGAAGCCGCACGACGCGGCGAGCGTTCGAAGAGAAGTAATGAACTCGGCGACTGGCTCGCCAGACAATTGTCGCCTTTCTTGGAATTTTACGCGTGCGAGATAATCGCACGAGGCATCTTTAAAATGCTCATCGAAAAGAGCAACAGCATTCTTGAAGGCATCGCCCGATGCTGGCGTCGGCGACGCGTTGGTGGCGTCCAAAGTATAGAGGAGCTTCAACCCGGCAGGGCTCATTGCATTGAGCAGCAGGGCCTTGCGACGCTCGGGCTTGCCGGCGTCCTCCCCGGCCGCGTCTGCGTAGGCCTGAAACACCAATTTCCAGTCCGTCCACGGAAGTGGCGGGTCTTCGGGCGAATGAAGAAATAGGGGAGGTGGAATAGGAGATGCCATTTCAAGCAAGAAGAATGGAGAGGTGCAGACGAGAAGAAAATGACGCCAGTACACTGTTTGAAGACGAAGGCAGAGGCAGCGTAGCTGAATGAAGAAGAAATTAAGTGATGCAGCACGCAGCAGCCCCCTTGCTGAGAACAAAGAGCGTCTAGGGTTGGTCCATTAGAAGCAAGAAAAAGACGAACACGGAGAACGAAATGGGTTTGTACACGTCCTCGTCGCCATTGCTGTATTGGGGGCTGGCTGGTCCCTACGAAGCAGAAGAAGAAGACGGCCGACGGAGACGTACGCGACCGGCGGGGACGCCGACCAGCCCGAACACGCGGGTTGGCACGAAGCGCCGAAGAGAAGAACAACAACCGTGCTCCAGGGTTACCCAATGCACACTGCTTTTATTTTACAGTCGCCTTGAAATCCTGGATGCCAGAGCGGCGCCCCCTGGCATTTCACATGTCATTCCGAAACCGAAACTGACAACCCAAAACACAACAACTATCTCTCAAGAGGAAGGTATATAACAGCTGTATCTTGCCGGTACTTAGCTACGGAGCAGAAACCTGAAGACTTACAAAGAGGGTTCAGCTTAAGTTGAGGATGACGCAGCGAGCAATGGAAAGAAAAATGGTAGGTGTAACCTTAAGAGACAAGAAGAGAGCAGAGTGGATTAGGGAACAAACAAGGGTTAAGGATATCATAGCTGAAATCAAGAAGAGGAAATGGACATAGGCCGAACATGTAGCGCGTAGACAGGATAACCGCTGGTCATTAAGGGTAACTGACTGGATTCCCAGAGAAGGCAAGCGGGTTAGGGGAAGACAGAAGGTTAGGTGGGCAGATGAGATTAAGAAGTTTGCGGGTATAAATTGGCAGCAGTAAGCACAGGACCGGGTTAACTGGCGAAACATGGGAGAGGCCTTTGTCCTGCAGTGAACGTAGTCAGGCTGATGATGATGATGATGAAACACTGCTGCATGAAGTATACTAGTGGTATCAGGCCAACTTTTTTGTATCCCTTTATCCATACTCAAATTGCTTGATAATTTGGTCAGTTCTGTCACTAATGCTAAAGTCAAATTCACAGAAGTTGACTTTACATAGTTTTACAATACCATATTGACATCAATTGAAAGAATAATGCTACAACAATGCAAAAGACTACGTGATATGATCTTGTGTGAAGAAAACCTACACTCGCCTTCTGAAAATGCGCCAAACAACAGAATTGGTGTATTGGCACTGAGTACAATCCAGTGTTAATGCTTTTGCTAGAGTATATGTTACCATTATTTTTGCCCTTCAGGTGAGCGTGGACATTGCCAAGACTCGTCACTCTATTCCTGGTGTGGGACTGATAAGTCCTCCACCTCACCACGACATCTACTCCATTGAGGATCTGGCTGAGGTAAGGCTGGCATGTTTGCTGACATCCAAGTGCTTAATTCTGTTTTTTAAATATTTAGTTTAAATATATTTCTAGCATTTTGAGCATCAACACTTAAGTTTTAGTTGTAGCGTTATAGGTTTTTCTGTTTAGAGTATTGTTCAATAAAAAAAAAAGTCGTCACATTTGTGATTGTGGCTTACTAGGTAAAGGATTCGACGGCCGTTTGGCATGGCTGCATTTTGATAGAGACCTAATACAAGTATGCTTACATACCTGAATTGAGCCGTATTTTTGAGAAACCCAGCCAATCAAAATTGTTCGGTAGCTCAGCTGGCTCTCTCATAACCTCAGGGGCATGTTATTTATTGTAGAGTTCATTGAATTAATTTCTCAAATAATAGAATCAATTTTACAAGTGTATTTACAAGTGAAGGTATGCACACGTAGCTTCAATTTGTGAATACCACTTTCTTTGAAAGTATATCATTTTGTCTCTCTCCAGCTGATCTATGACCTCAAGTGTTCAAACCCCAGCGCTCGCATCTCTGTCAAACTGGTGTCCGAAGTTGGTGTCGGAGTGGTCGCTTCTGGTGTGGCCAAGGTACGGGTGGCAAGAACATTAATTGGCTTCGGCGTCATTTTTCCTGTTTGCGTGTTACTCTTATGGCCGCTTTGGTGCACTATGGTTAGAATAAAAGTGTGCAAATATAGCAAGTTCTTTCATTCTAGGAGTGCGCTTGCTTGTATACAAGCAAGCCTATAGGAAAAAGCAAAAGTAGTAGTTCATCTTGAGCTTGAGACTGACAGTTGTTTGATGGTTATCATTGAAGGTTATCACTTAATTGTTGTATTGCCATTCGTAGAACATCATGGTAACCTGGCACTTCCATGTAAAAACTCTAAGAGTCATTTTTATGCTTTGTCTCTGTTTAAAGTTATAAAAGCAACTTCACTGAACATGTTTCAGTTCTTTTTGTACTGTCACACACTGTTAATAACCAGAATAGCAGGGGAAAAGGGAGACATTGTGCTATGAAGATTTTTGGCTATCTCTGTGAAAGTGGCCCTTCATTACTTTCTTTTAAATGTATAGCCAGTAGGCTTAAATGTATTCGGTTGGGCATTGGTCTTGCATGAACATGACACTTTTAGAACCACAAGTGAACTCTAGATTTGGACCACTTGGTGTGTTACAACAGCAAGGAAATTCGCAGGGTCTATTCTAGAGGTCTTAAGACTGCAGAGGACACTGCTCGACTGTCAGTTCAGAATAATTTTCAAAACTATTGTAGACCCGGACTGTAGTAATTGATGAGAAACATGACTTTTGAAAAACCGCACTTCCACTTAGCATGAGAGTGTAGTTTCTAAATAAAAGGTTTAGCTTGTAGTAGTTTTTGTGACCAACACAGTTGCACATTAATTATACCAAAGTGTAAGGTTTGGACCGAGCAAAATTTATACGTGCTGTGAAGTCCATGTTATAGATAAGCTTTTGATGTCAGGTTTATGCCTCTGTTCACAGTGGCACTTAATTCTGACAGATGGTGACACCAAAAGAAAGATATGTGTGTGCACATATTTGTGGAAAGTCACTCAACATTCAGCTTTCACCGCTATGTTTTCCAGGGCAGATCTTTGAAAAATTGAACTCGCCGAGATCCAGCAAACTTCTAAGCATGTGTTTTTAGGGGCGAAGCACCTTATGGCATAATCCGTTTATCTCCCGTTATCATTTGTAACAGCCGGTGGCACGTACATACCCGAGAGAGCAGGTGTGTGGTAGTTATGTGGTAGGTAGAGGTATGTAGTAGGTAGCCACCTATCGTTTAGTTCTTGGAATGTCGAAGCTCCTTAAGTCGTGGGTCGTGCATCCTCGATGTATGTAGTAGGTAGTTACTTCTTGTTCAGTTCTTAGAATGTCCGCTAGATGGCGGTACTTGTATATAATCAATATATGATGAAAAGATGCAGATGGTGGTACTTGGAGTGTTCACTAGAGGGACGGACATATAGACAGACAGATGCACAGACGGATAGATCGACCCACGGTTGGACGGACAGACGGATGTACGAACGGACAGACGGACGCTTTGCCCTACTCATCATTTCGTCAGTCCGTGGATATGCTGCGATTTGTTTTCGCTGTTGATGTTTCTGTTTTGTGTGTCAAAGATGCCAGCTTAGCGCAGCATGGCTCTGCTTCCTAGGGCAAGGCCGAGCATATCACGATCTCGGGCCACGACGGAGGCACGGGAGCGAGCAGCTGGACGGGCATCAAGGGCGCCGGCCTGCCTTGGGAGCTGGGCATTGCCGAGACGCACCAGACGTTGGTCCAGAATGACCTCCGCTCACGCATTGTCCTGCAGGCCGATGGGCAGATACGCACAGGTATGCACGGGTTCCTACACTCTTTGTTGCAGAGTGAAAGCATGGAAGAAAATTGGACAGGACATGAATAAAACAGCTATGAAACGTTTGAAACACAAAAGTTGTCTTCATTGCCTTACATAATCATTGTCATCATAAAGTTAAGCTTTTGTATAACTAACATAAATGTGTAAAAATTGTAAAATATGGCTTTAAACACAGAAATTTCCTTTGCAAATACGAATGTAATGCAGACACTTGCGTACAGATGTGACTTTATTGTAACAAGCATAGTCTGTATTTTGTCAATAATAAACCCTTTGACTGCCTTAAGAAGAATATACCCTAATGTCAGGAAAATTTTTTTGCTCAATTTGTAGAGCTCCTTTTTTGTTTTCTGATTGGAACTGTACTACTCTTTCAGTTTCATGGGGTTCTTTTATTTTGAAAATCGTGTTAAAAATAATATATTGCAAATGTGGCATCACCATGTGGCAATACAGTAAAACATGGCAATAAGATGAAAGCCAAGAAACAAATGGCCCAGCATGGACAAGTGTGGCCACCTAGTGTCAAGAAACACAATTGTGATGACTCTACAGTAGACTATCATTAAATGAAGCTTGAAGGGACCGGGAGAATATGTTCTATTTAACAGGAGTTTCATTTACTGCAAGGTAAATAGGGCTACAAAATACAAATAGAAAACCAATTGCGGTTTACCCTCGTCACACGAGTAGTCTAACAGCTGTTAAGCGAGCCCTTCAGATTACGCTCCTTCCCATCATTCATAGGTTCATTCTAGCAGGCTTAATGTCTTGAGAAGGTGTTGAAGTATTATTGGTTAGCTGCCATCTCGTAATATTGTTACGCATGATCATGTACTATGTGTAATATGATCATGTACTATGTAATATGTACTACGTAGTATGTACTATGTAGTATGATCATATACTATGTAATATGATCATGTACTATGTGATGCCAAACAGGCAAGAAAGGTGGTCCACTTTTGCTGCCATGGCAACAAGTGGCGCTGACTGATGCTTCCACGTTTAAGACACATATATACCCCATAAAGTGCACGGGGCCATAGCTGCAGTGGTAGCTCAGTTGATAGAGCATCGGAGATTACAGTTGCTTCTAATAACATCCCCTATACTCTCTGTGGCATTATTGTTTGTTCTCATTAAGGCTGTTGTACATAGTTACATGACAACGGGGACTACAGTTAATCAGCTAACGACCATTTTCGTAAAAGGGGGCAGGCAACCCCTGTTAGCGCCATAAACTGACATGGTGGCCCCCATGTTGTACGCGAGCAGCTCGGCTCCCAAAGAAATGTGCAACCAAAAGCATGTGACCTGGACTGTGGCAACGATGGAGGCGTTGATGCACATTTGGGAAGATAAATTACGTGTATAAGCACTGTCACAGAAGACTTACTATTTTAATTAGCCTTCCATCTTCACAACACAGCAGTCACTGAAATGCATAGATATGTGTTGAAAACGAATCGATTTTGTGCAGGATGGTGCATTTCATGAACTTATACAATCATTTGCACAATGCATTGGCACAATGCATTTTCAACATCAGCTCTGACTAAAGTTAAAACTGTGTTTGTTACACACGCACCAATTTGTTCATGCTGCAGACATGTGACAATGCCTCTGTCTCGCTTACAGCAACTGTGGTTACGTCCGCTAAGTGCAGTTCAGTATAACAGGAGTTAAGCTTTCTCGTTTGAGGCAGTTACGTTCAAGCCGCAGTTCCATTTAAAGGATTTCCATTTGCTGAGAGTCAACAGCAGTCTTGATTGGTTCCGTGTTTGACCACTTTCATTGGTACTGAGTATTGTTCTCATTGGTGATTTTGTTCCAAAATCTTATGACTATGCTCATCATTGGTAGTAAAGTGGTTAATGTGAAGGAACTGGTTTCTTTTTGTTTCTCACTATGCTGGTAATTATTCTCTGTGCAGGGCTGTTCGTAAACTACTTTTTCTTCTAGTTGTGATGCACTATTAATAAAAACTGTCTTTCTTGTACTCTAATTTTACAGGATTTGACGTGATTGTGGCTGCAATCTTGGGTGCCGATGAGTTTGGCTTCTCGACCGCACCGCTCATTGTCATGGGCTGCACCATGATGCGCAAGTGCCACCTCAACACCTGCCCCGTCGGCATAGCAACACAGGTGCATGCTTCACTTTTCAATCTCTCACTTTCATTGGCTGTCTTCATTCATTTGTGCATGTGTGCTCTGGCTCTTTTGTTTTTGCCTATATTTCATGTGTTTACTCAAATTGCTACCAGTGAGTTCTAGAGTTTAATATCTGCATATAAAAGTTTCATAGCTGCATCCAAATAGTGCCAACAATTTTCGTCAAGTCTACTGACAACTCGGAGCGATTTCTTGTTCTTGTATCCACTTTTTGCCTCACAGTAGGTATATTTAAAACAGGAACATCAGCTAGTGCTACTCTTATGTAATTCAATGTTTAGTCTATTGTGCCACAGTCAGTTTTATTGAATTCTGGCAACGTTTGTTCTTTTTCGATTTTAGCTCAGCACTAAGTGATTTTATTAAACCTCAATCTCGGACCATAAACCAACTTTCTTTATGAACTGTCACCACTGTGCAGAAAGAAGCTTTATCCAAAGCCACATATGCATCTCTTTGTAAAGCTTAGGCAATTAAAATATAAGGTAATTTAAGTAAATGATAAGAACACTGAAAGTTTGATTCCAGCTATTTTTTTTCAGGCAGTTGCCCTCTGTTTAGTAAGTTACTGTTCATGTAGAATTGTCTTGCTTCGTAGCACGGATTAATGTAGGCCACGCAGCATGCAAATCTTACATGCCTAAGTATCTGTTTTAAACATTTATCCTTCTTAGCATAGCTGTTTAATGCGAGAAAAGTGCTTATAGAAATAGGGGCCATGGCGGCGTACTCCCGCTAGCTCGTAATACACTGCCTTCGTCGTCTATGCAGATTAAATTGATCTTACAACAAAAATGTCACTATCTAAAATAGGTTTACTGATTTGAAGAGAAATTTTCTGGTGATAATGAAAGCATTCAATCTGTCTCAAACTCCAATGCTGACTACAATCAGACCTTGGGCTGTCTTTATAAGCTGCATTTTCTTATTGTATTGCGTAAGTAAAACCAAACTTTTTTATTTGCCTATTTAGCATCCCGAGTTCATCAATGTGCAGCCTTTCCAACACAGCTTGAGAGAGAAATTTAGTCACCTGTTAGCTAAATTCGATGCCTGCCTCCTTGAATATGTTGGTAGGACATGACTATGCATAGTAAATAAATAACAGATGAACGGCACGAGTCTCTCCCCACTCTTAACTAACTTCATTGTTCATTTCCTTTCACTCATTGCCCTTTCCTTCCCCTTGGGATGAGGAAGTTGAGTAGGCGAGGATGGAAGCGGTTAAGAGAGGGACCCGCTGCTCCTTCTTCTCCTGGCCTATTCCTGCCCGCCACTATATCTCTCTCATACCTGTTTTTATCATTGAACTTGGCAACACCATAGTAGAGCCTATATATTGCATAATTCAACTCTATTATCGATACGCTGGCATCTAGTTTTGAAGATTTTTTTTCCTAGCAGTGAACACAGTGATGTAAATGTACTCCTTGGTCATTTTCATGGTATTGTGCAGGAGTGCATATCAAAGTTTGTGCCTCAAAAGTGCATTAAACGTAATCCAATACATCCGTGGTACACACGGGAAATCATTCAACTAACTCGCCGTGTGAAGCAACTTCGCAAAGGTCGTCCTCTTTTGTCAGCTGCGCGATCACCACTGCTTAATTCTTTGAAGTGTACTTTGAAGGCGAAAATGCAGGAAGCGAAAAATTTCTATTTCAACAATACATTTTCACGGTTTATGGTAAAAAACCCGACCAAATTCTGGAAGTCTATTAACCCGAAGTCATCTGTTCAGTCTTGCTTCCTTATAAATGACCAATCATGCTCCGATTCTAACACTATTGCAGAAAGCTTCAACAACTATTTCAAGTCCGTTTTCTCTCGTGATGATGGCACTATCCCAGATTATGCTTGCAACTTTGTTCAGTCTACAATTCCAGACATCACAATCTCTTGTTCAGGTGTTCAAAATTCGATACTATAATTAGATGTGACTAAAAGTTCCGGTCCTGATGGCATTCCTAATACGTTCTTGAGGCGGTACTCCGAATGGTGCGCTCGTTACTTGACTGTTATTTTTAATAAATCGTTTGCGTCGGCCACTGTTCCCATACTTTGGAAGACAGCTAATGTTGTCCCGTTATTTAAATCTGGCAATAAGCAGCTCATTTCAAATTATAGGCCAATTTCCCTAATTTCAACAAGCTGTAAACTACTAGAACATGTCATTCATAAACATATTGTTGAGTATTTGGACGCAAACAACCTTCTGTCCTGGTGTCAGCATGGCTTCCGAGCTGGATTTTCTACAACAACGCAGCTTCTAGAATTCACCCATGACATTGCCACATCACTTAACAAAAGGGGTCAGACAGACGCAATTTTCATAGACTACTCGAAAGCTTTCGACAACGTATGCCATAAAAAACTTCTTCTAAAACTTAGTTCCTTTCTTAAAGATTCTAAATTACTCGGTTGGATTGCGGATTACTTGCGTTCTCGATCTCGGTTCGTTACTTTCAACCAGGTGCAGTCATCCCTGTTGAAATCACATCCGGTGTGCCGCAAGGCTCTGTGCTAGGGCCTCTCTTGTTTATTATATTTATTAATGATGTTGTTAATGTCATCTCTGGAACCCTTGTAAACATACGTCTGTATGCCGATGATTGTGTACTGTATAACTGCATTACTACCTTTCAAGACCAGTCAGTCTTCAACAACGTATTCTCGTTATTCTGCGATTGGAGCTCAACGTGGCAAATGCCCATAAATTACAAGAAAACTGTAGCTATGACTTTCTCAAATAAAAAACAGCCTCTCAGTTTCAGTTATAACTACAATGGGTCCACCCTAGCACATGTGAGTGAATTCATATACCTAGGCATCACCTTTACACATGACCTTAAATGGGGTAAAAATGTTGATCAGATAACTTGTCAAGCTCTAAGGAAACTTGGTTACTTAAAGCGAAGACTGAAAAACTCGACAAAAGATTGTAAGTTAACTGCCTACAAGACACTAGTGAGACCGATGCTCGAGTACGCCTCTGTGGTTTGGTCGCCTCATCTTGAGCAAGATAAAAACAGGTTAGAATCTGTGCAGAATAAGGCTACACGGTTCGTTTTTAACCGTTATGATCGGGACTTCTCCCCGTCTTCACATGCTCATTTGTTGTCTCTTCATTCACTGGAACACCGCCGTACACGTGGAAGTATTATCTTGTTGCACAAAATTGTACACAAAATGACCTGTGTTCACGCGCCCTTATCTTTCGCTGATATACCAGCGCGTACAACACGTAGTACAGACGCATTGAACCTTGTACCCTCCAGGTCTCGTTTGGATTGTTTCAAATTCTTTTTTTCCTCATGTGGTGGAAGTTTGGAACAAGCTTGATGGTGCTTTGCGTAGACTGAACACAGTAGAGTTCGAGAAAAATTTTATGTGTTAGTCACATAAATTTGTGCGCACTATTGTTTGTTTCTGTGCTTTCCTTGATTTTTCTGTACCCCCTCCTGCAATGTCCCAGGCATGGGACAGCAGTACTTGTAAATAATAAATAAATAAATTGGCTGGCCTATTGATACATTTTGCAGAATGAAAAAAAAAAAAATGCTGAAGCATCCACTGCCCCTAGAGAAAATGTTTTGGTAATTGAAACTAGGCTTGCGCATATAAGAATTTTAGGTTTCGAGCAAATTTGAAGCGAACAGTGATTTTGGTCAAATAGCTTCCAATCGAATTCGGATAGTATATATATATCGCATATTATAAAAAAAATAGGCATATTTGTCGTGACCTCACAAACCTGCACCCTTGTTTTTAAAAAAGAGAAACAAGGCCTTTGCAAATGTCATTCTTTTGCATCAAAGAAAGCGGAAACAACTTTAAATAGTAGCAGGATTTGACTCTTATTTGAATGCGAGAGATAATGTGTAAAATATGGTATTTTAAATATTTGCTATACTTGGAGTATATAAGTTGGTATAACAAGCTTGTAAACATAAAAATTGAATCGATGTGAGGGTAATATCCTCTTGTAACCTTCATTTGGGGCTTACCGACGGTGTGGATCTCCTCTTGAATATGTATTTTCACGGCTTAGCAGGGCTTCACTACAGTGAAACCACCTTTACAATGTGTCGCATGCGATTAATATGCACTTATTCGTTCATTCTGAATAATTCGAAATTGTAAATAAGTTAACTCTGATTCAAAGTGAACTCGAATACTGCATTCATTCGAATATTCAAAGCACTTGGATATGTGCACAAGCTTAATTAAAGCTTTTCATTATCACAAAGCACTTCTGTGAAATTTTATGGCATGTTGCTATCAATTGTCGTTGCATAACATGTAACAAAATGTTATGTGAGATTGTACACATTGCATGTTAAATCAGCAGCTTGCAATTTTGGTTTCATATGCATGCAGGAGAGGCTAAACAAATGCCTAAAACTTTTTACAGCTTAGGTAAAATGTAATTATTTTTTGCAAAAGAAGCCTAGCATATAAACAGAAATTCGAAAAATGTAGCAAAAAGTAAATGAAAATATGACTTCTCTTGAAAATAAAAGGGGTTTAAAGGGGGTGGCATACACAGATGGTAGTGTATCAGGTATCAAGGCAGAAATTTATACTTTTTTTTAGAGTGAAGCAGGCAGAAACGTTGTCCTGGTCTTGGATTCAAACCAGGAGTAGTGCTTTTCTAGCAGAGGGAGAGTAACAGCAGAACTGACAGCTGAGCTAGTTGGCCTTGGTTGTTTATATTTACTGGTACAGCACGCATGGACGTCCCTAAATGTTATTTGAGAGTCAGTGCTGTCTATGTCCGCTGCTTGGTCATCTGTGCTCTACTTTGTGCTTTGCAAATCAATTCAAGATGAACCAGAAGGGTAGCAGATCACTGGGTGTAAGCATATTGTTTGACAATATGAAGGAAGAGCACTGCATAGGTAAATAAATTATCTGGCAGTCTGCATGGTGTGAAAGGATCATGAAAAAGAAAATAATCTACTAGTCCCTGATGGACTGAATCTCTGCCATTGGCTGACTGATTGTTTGTGAGTATTTATGAAAATATATACTGTCACTGCTAAGCGCAGAGAAGCTGAAAAAGAGATGACCTTATTTTTCAACACCACATAAACAAATGTTGACATTAGGCTTGTGAGAATATTCGAAGCCTTTTAATACTGGAACAAATACTACCCTATTCGAGTTCGCTTAGACTCGAATTTAAACTATTGAAAATTTCGAAGTATTTGCTATGAACGAATAATTGTATAATTAATCCGCATGTAACATTTTGTAAAAGTGGTTTCACTGCAGTGTAAAAACGCTAAGCCGTGAAAGTAGCTAGTCAGACAAAATTTGCACTGCAGCAAAGCCTTTTTTCAAAGCCTAAGGGGCGCTGCAAAACTTTTTCAGCATGGTCGGAAAACGCTGCCGATCGGTAGTCGAGGCTCCCGAGAACATGTGAGCCAAATAATATTGCACAAACCATGGCCGAAAATTCCCAATAAATTCTCAGTCACCTGAAAATTGCTTTTCTTTTTCTCGACAAGTTGTGCCACAAGCTCAAAAATCGCTCATCACAGCCATTGTGTCAGTAATAGACTCATTTGAGCATGGCGCCTCAGTCATTACTGGGGCCGCAACTTGTCTATGCATTCGTATGGAATCGCACTGAAAAGCAGTGTATTTGAAGGCAAAAAAGAGAAAACATGCTCAAGGTCACTAGGCACACACGACCGTATTTTCATCCCTCGTGCCATCTCTCCCTGCTTAGCTTCCGGTGCTTTCGTCGGGATGATAGAAGGGAGGATGCAACCGCAGCGCGCGGCAATACTTTGTAACTCCGCTTATACCTAACCGATTCTAAAAATTATTGCGGCAGTGAATTCGTAAAGCAATAAGCTCCTTTAGTGAATCCAGTTCATGACTACTAGAAAAAGTGTTGCAGGGTCCCTTTAACTAAACATATTACCCTTACATCGATTCATCATTTTTTTACACTTAGAAACTTGTTACACCAGGTTATAGGCTCTAAGCATAGTAAATTTTAAATGTAACATATTTTACAGGTTATCACTTGCATTCTATTGAAAGTCAAAATATGCTGTTACTCAAAGTTGTTTTGACTTGCTTTGAACAAAGAAAAATGGCATTTGCCCAGAGGCCTTATTTCAATTTTAAAAAATTGTGCAGGTTAGCTAGGTCATGATAAATATGCCCATTTTTCAATGTAATGTATGTCATATAAACTACTAGAATTCGATTAGAAATTTTTGGACCAAAATTACTATTCCCTTCAAATTCACTTCGAACCTAAAATTCACTATTCGCACAAGCCTAGTCGACATCTGACCCATCATTGTAGTTTGTGCATAATTGGCGTGCATGTTGAGTGATTATGCATTAAATATTAAGATTTGCAAGGTGTGAAATATTAAGTCAATACCTGTAGCTACGCACGTTATAGAAAACTGGTATCGCTACTATTAATTTTTTTTTTTTCTGGCCTCACACAATCGGGAATGTTTGTAGGCCATCTGGTATGGTCATGCTGCACTAACATCACTTTTCAAAGATCAGATGCTGTTTCAGTTTCTTAAGTCTTTCATTTACGCTTGGATATTGCTTCTCTTGCAGGACCCCGAGCTCAGAAAGAAGTTTGAAGGGAAGCCAGAGCATGTGGTCAACTTCCTGTTCCTCTTGGCTGAAGAAGTATATACCGCATTCTCATTGTCACCACTCCGTTTTCATTACATTTCCCCAAAGTTTCCAACAATTCCCTTACATATCCGCTTTGCTATCATTTCTACATTTTACTTGAACCAACAGCTAACTTTCCCTATGCTTCCTTGGCCTTTGCTACCTGTCTATGGGTTACTGTCACATCTTTGTATAATCTACTATTTGTCAGTAATTACTCGTAGCCATTTATATTTACTAGCGGATTTGTGATCATGTGATTGTCTTTTTTATTCTGTATTGCTCATAGTAATGCTATTGCCTTTTCTTTTAGTAATTAATTACATGTAGCAGTTACTTTATTTACAAAACATTGTTGTAGCACAGCTTTAAGAACTGGTTGGGAGCTAGAGTTATACTTTTATGTCATAGCAGGAAATTTACTCCTGAATGCATACAATTGTGCAGGCAAATGCGGTTGCTGCCTACCGGTTTCTTAATGCTTATGCTCCCTGTTTAAAATGTTAGCTAATAAACAGGCACCACCCAGGGCTCGTTTCACCTTTTCGTTGACTGTACTAGAAGTTCTAGCTCTAAATGCTACCAATCGTAAATCACTGTGCTTCATACAAGTAAGAAATATGAGCATGACCTTAGCATTTTGCGCAAAATGTTCACATGGTACGGAAACGCGCTTTTTTTCACCATATGCTCACTGAGCAAGCTTCTTTTATCACAGAAAAATGAGGTAAGATGAGTTGCAAATACTGTGGAAAACAAATGCTTTATTGAGCATGGATATTGCCGATAAAACGGAAATGCTGTAGAGTAGGCCTCAAATCATTAGGCACATATGTAGGCACTGAGCTGTATATGCCGGGAATATTGGGAAGGTAAAAAAAGATAAGCGACATATTAAATCGGTCACTTTCAACATATGTATTACCGTATTTAGTCGATTCTACCGCGCCCTCTATTGTAACGCGCACCCGGTTTCCACGGCGAAAAAAAAAGTAAGACATCGATTGCAGCGCGCACCCATTTTTTTCGTTGGCCCGCACGATCACACCACTCGGGAAAATGACTCCTTTCGGCAGCGTCTTTCATTTAAATATGAGGTACGGGGGAAGCTTGTGCCTATCTGATGTGCAACAGAGCATTGCCGTCACTCTAGTTTTACCGTGGCCCGATGTCAGCACGCGAACTTGCTTCGCCCCCTTCTTCTCGATGGTTGTCGTGCCAGGCATGTCGAAGTAAAGAGGCGCCTGATCGGCATTCCCGATTTGCCCAAGCAGTTAGCCGTTGTTGTGCCGCAAGCTTAGGACGAGCCTCTGAAAGCTGTGAAGCTTTTCGTCCTACTCCTCCAGCAACTTTTGGCATATGTCCGTTCGCCTTCTGAGGGAAAAGCCTTTCCTCTTCATAAAGTTAGTTAGCCAGCACCTGCTCGCTTTAAACTGGCTCCGCGTTAGCCCTTTTTCTAAGGCTAACTGCATAGCCTGCACTTGGAGCAGTTTTGTCATCACGGGCCGCTGTGCCGCTCATTGCTCAATCACATACTTGCCGAGCAGCTCTTCAATTTGCGGAAATCGACCCTGCTGGGGTCCACTGAAGCCTTTGCGTGAATCTTTGCTGTCGACAATATTCTGTTTTTGTTTCCGCCAGTCCCGCACGCACGTTTCAAGAACTCCGAACAACCGCAATGCGGCCCGATTTCCGTCCGTTTCGGCACACGCGATGACTTTTCTTTTAAAAGCGGCATCGTGGTGCACTCGTCGAGTTGTTGGATCCGGCCCTTCCATGCCGTCGATGCTAATGCACCATAAAATGACGAACTTCTCAGCACATGTACGAAGTGCGCACATGGGAAACACATAGGCGGAAATGGCCGACGCGCCATGCCGACGCATGTAGGGGATGGCCATTTTGGAAATGCCGATGGTAATAGAATGACCGTATTCATTTTTTTTTTCGTAGTCGATTCTAACGCGCATGCCATTTACGAACTCGCTTAACTGGAAAAAAGGTGCGCGTTAGATTCGAGTAATTACGGTAGTATTGCATGTAATAGACCAATAAGGGATCCATCACTGATGTATATTTCATTGACAGAACCAGCTCCAGTTGATCCTTATTAAAAATGCACATAACTAGCTAAGCATTAATGAACATCGTGCCTCTCCCCAAGCAGCATATTGAGAAATCTTGCTTTTAATGAACAATTATATACTCAAGGTGTTATTGTCTTATTGTTTCACATACATTAGACTACGCTGTCGCAATATGATTGCATTTTGTTTTGTCCTACAAACCCCTTGAGCAGACGTCTGTAGGCTTTAGCTCAGCCTAGTTGTGTATTACGAAATCAAGTTATTCTCATACGCTGCCTTGGTGTGTGTGCAGGTGCGGAGCTACCTGGCCAAGCTTGGCTTGCACAGCCTGCAGGAGGCTGTCGGTCGCACCGACCTCCTGCGAGCTGCTCCTTTCGAGGGCAACCCCAAGGCCAAGCTCTTGAACCTCGATGCAATCTTTCTAAATGCGTTGAGCCTCCGACCTGGAACCAACATTCGTGGAGGCAGCATTGCTCAGGACTTCGAGCTTGGCAAGCGCATGGTAAGTTCTACACTGCTTCTGCAGCTTCCAGGTGAATGGGAAGTTGTTCCTTGTTCGTACATCTTATGTGATGCATGTCCCCTTCAACTAAAGGCTATGCATCTATGCTTGAGTGCGTCACATACACTGATAAGCCACCCTCATCGCATTGCACTCTCTTCTCATACAACCTGGCTTCTCCTCGTCGTGGGCTGATTCGAGATCAGTGTATAGAAGTTTCACAGTAGTGCAAGAGATGGTGCCAGCATTCCCGCGGCACCGCAGTCCTGGGAAAGATTTTGTAGTTATGTAAGGAACCAGGTTCCTATGCTGCGAAACTAATTTCACCCTCTTTGGCTGTCTTTGTGCTTAATTAAGGTTGAAGTTCCTAGGCTGTTTTGCAGATGCCTATTGATTCCTTTAAAGTTGCCTACGTTCATTAACAATCACCTTTTATTGACATAAGCTTGCTCTTTTAGTAGGAATGAACATTATTTGCTCTGTATTATGGCAGTGAGTTTAAATTTCTCGTTTTTACACTGTGTTTCAATGGCATACTAAATTAACTGTTGTATAATTAAGCTAGGTGGTGCACTGTATAGAAGAAGCCAGTAAATGGTACTTTGTAATTGGCTTGCACATTTGTGTACTTCACCCTTTGCTCCTTGAATGCAAAAAATCTCACCAGGCGTAGTGTGAATCGAAACAACAATGTGCGAATTCAAGCTTTTCTAGTTGGCATATTCAATGCTTATTGCCTTTTAAGGCTTACATCGAACAAAACTGCCAGGATCATGTTTTCAACACTTGAATTGAAATTATTCTTCAAGGAGTAATTTTTCGTTAAACATACACAGTCCAATCTTGCTATAACTAAGTCTGCTACAATGGATTATCCGCCACAATAAATAATTTTCAATTCCCTACCATCGTCCCACGAAAAAAAGTGTGAAAAGTGTATCCTCATAACAAACATTTTGCCTGTATACTACTCCCTCTTCTACAACGTTTTCGCGAGTATTACCACATAAAACTTCCAAACAGGTCTTTAGGCACTCATGCTGTTGATAATTTTACTAGGCTTGTGCGAATAGTGAATTTTAGGTTCGAAGCGAATAGAGATTCTCGTCGAATAATTTAGAATTGAATTCGAATAGTATATATATGACACAAAAAAATGGGCATATTTGTCATGACCTAACTAACCTGCACAACATTTTTTAAAAAATTAAAATGAGGCCTCTGTGCAAATGCAATTTTTTTTCTTCAAAGGAAGTTGAAACAATTTTGAATAGTAGCAGGATCTGACTTTCGGTAGAATGCAAGTGATAACCTGTAAAATATACAGTGAAATCTCGGTATAACGAACTCCAGGAGGCCGCAGTAATTCATTCGTTATTTTGAAAGGTTGTTATAGTGAAAGCCCAAAAATTAACCATAAATATTTACTTTCCACCAACCAAAATGACTTACCTTTAAAATGGTGGGTCCTAGAACTCATTTTTCATGAGAAAAAAAAAAACAAATGCACAAGTGAACACTAATATCCCGGCTGCAGCGGCTGCATTTCCGATGGAGGCGGAAATGTTGTAGGCCCGTGTGCTCAGATTTGGGTGCACGTTAAAGAACCCCAGGTGGTCGAAATTTCCGGAGCCCTCCACTACGGCGTCTCTCATAATCAAATGGTGGTTTTGGGGCGTTAAACCCCACATATCAATCAAGTGAAGACTAAAAAATGCACATTTGCTTAAAGAAGTCTGCGGTGTTTTTTTTTCTTCCAGTTCATTCACATTCCTGTGGTGCAATTCGGTGGTGCGATCCACATTCTCGCTTAGTGGAAACTGCTTCCGCTTTTTTGTCACAAGCAGAGATGAACTTATTGTAGCACTGCAGTACGAATGCCGACTTGCTTTGCAGCCGCGATAAGTAATCACCGAAAAGAGATGAACACGACTGACAAGGCCTCCTGGAGCACATGTATAAGTGACAAAGATAAGTAAAACCCAAAGTGTATAGCTGTCACCGCCTCTTCCGAATGAAAGAAAGGGCTAAAAAAGAAACTTCCTCGCGTTTTGTTTTCTGCTCTCTCGCTGTCTCAGGTTTTCTGTGTCCATGCTTCCTCCTGCGCATCTCCCACTCTGCCTCACCGACTTTGCCCTCCGCTGCTTGTAAACCTGTGGCATGGACGTTTCAACAACAAAAAAAAAAAAAAAGTCTTCCTTTCGAGTTTTTTTTTCTCCCTCCGCACCATCGCGCGTGTTCTGAGAATCAAGGGGTTCGTGCGCTGTGTCATCTGCTTGCGTACTGCTTTGGTGGTCGCTACAGATTTCAGAACATGAGTTCTCTGTACTTAGGCATTCTTAATACAATTCGGAACTCAATTAGCTCTCGTTATTCTGAAAAGTTCGGTATTCTGAAGTACGTAGTAGTGAAATAATTTTACTTTGAAACTATTAGCAGTCAGCGTGGAATTTTTTAAAAGTTCGTTAATTGGAAAAGCTCAAATGTGGGGGTTCATTTTACCGAGATCTCGCTGTGTAACACTTCAAAATTTACTGCACCTAGAGCATATAAGACTGACATAGCAAGCTTTCAAACTTGGAAAAACTATGAATCTATTTTAGTCTAATATATTCATCTAGCCTTGAAGTGGGGCTCCCTGGCAGTGCAGATTTTTTCTGGATAAGTGTTTTCACGGTTTAGAATTTTTTCATTGCAGTGAAACCATCTTTATAGTGGGTTACATGCAGACTTGTATACATTTATTTAGGAAATTTTCAATAATTTGAATTTGATTCAAAGTGAATGTGAATACTGCGCTATTCGTTCAAATATTCGCACAAGCATTAATTTTACAGCATTCAGACACAAAAAATACCAGCTTAATAATGGAACAATGAAGCCACTGGTCCGAGGACTGTTGGCCATATCATTCAGCTTGACAACTGCCAGCCATGCTGTCACCACTGGGTTGACTGACCACTTCAGTTCTTTGTGGAATGACCTTTGATACTGCTCACTTAGACACCAGCCTCTTTGCCTGTTTGTTGCACACATATGACAGCATGTCCTTTGTGTGTACGTGCATGTAGGACAACCTGCTCATCAAGCAGTCCAAGGCAGTGCTCGAGGGCCGATCCAAGGAGGTCACCCTGCACATGGACATCACCAACGAAGACCGAGCGTTTGCCACCACACTGAGCTACCACATTGCCAAGTGAGTTTTCGAGTAGTGTATGTTATACAATATTATGAGATAAAATGGTATGCAGTTTGGTGGGTTTATTGAGCTGCACTGATAGGACCCATATGGTGCTCAGGTGGAAGCGAGGGGCAGATTGAGAGCGCTCTGCAAGAGGCGATTGACACCGTAGAAGACTACCTTCGCTCTTCCGGGCTCAATTGTTCCTCGAGTAAGTCAGAACTTTTGCTTTATCGGACTGCACGCCGGGGACCGAAGCCCAGGGGATGAAAGCCGTTAAACCAGATAGACATCCACCTCCGTACAAATCAAGGGGATGCCATCCAGAGGGTCGACTCCATCAAAGTCCTGGGAATGCTGCTAGAGTCTACCGGCGCCAACAGCAAATCTATAGCCAAGTTAACTAGGAAAACAGACAGTGCGGTGCACCTCATACGCAAAGTGGCCAACAAAAGAAATGGGATCAAGGAAGACAACCTCATCAGGTTGATGCATGCGTTTGTTCTAAGTCTCTTCACATACGAGGCAGCAATGCACAACTGGTCAAGAGCAGAGTCCGAGACACTGAATGTGCTCCTCAGGAAAGTTATCAAGAAGGTCCTGGGCCTACCCATACATACCAGCACCGAGCGTCTGCTTGAGCTTGGCATACACAACACGCTCGAAGAAATAGCAGAAGCCCAAGAGAGAGCACAGTTTGCAAGGTTATCTACAACAAGGTCGGGGAGAATGATCCTGCAGGAGCTGGGCCAACACCCAATAGCAATCAGACGCAATTACAATGATATCCCTGACAACATCAGGGAGACTATCACGGTATCTCCTATACCGAGAAACATGCATCCAGAACACAACGTCGGAAGAAGAGTAGCGAGGGCCAGGACTATACTTCGTCAAGTCTCAAACGAGGAACGAGGGGTCGTATTTGTTGACGCGGCTTCCTACGCCAATGGGAAAGCGTTTGTGGCAGTGGTAGTCGATCGGGCTGGCCATGTCGTCAACTCAGCGACGGTCAGGACGAAAGACCCAATCATTGCGGAACAAGTGGCCATCGCCTTAGCACTCAAGATGGATAACATTGAAGTCGTCTACAGTGATTCCATGGCAGCACTACGGGGGTTCGCCAAGGGGACGGTCTGTGAACAAACGCTGAAAATACTGCAAGGCAAGAACATAACACATCATCTTCTGAGTTGGTTCCCAGCTCACCTTGGACAAATCAACAATTCCCCTCCCAATCTCAACGAAGCAGCACACGAGGCGGCGCGAGAACTCTCCAACCGCGCCTCCCCGGGGATGCGTTCTACCGGTGAAGGGGATAACCGGGAAATTCTTACAACATATAACGAGCTCACTAAACATTTCTACCTGTCTAGAAGGATTTTCCCTCCACCTCACAAAAATCTAACCCGCCCCAAGCACTTACATTAAGGCTTTTGCAAACGCGGATGTACCCTACTTTGAAAATGTTACACATCATGTACCCTGACCTATACCCAAGTAATCTTTGTCCACATTGTGGGGAAATAGCTTCATTAGAACACATGCTCTGGCAGTGCACCAAATTCGCTCATTTATCGCACATCACCTCTGCCAGATGGGAGGCGGCAATCCGCAGCTCGTCCTTGGCAGATCAGCTCTGGGCTGTCCACCAAGCCCGCGAGGCGGCTGAGGAGCTTGGCATCTCGGTCTCCACGTGGGAGCTGCCCGCAACACAGTGATCTGTGTTTTGGAGGACCAAATAAAAGTTTATCCAATCCAATCCAATAGGACCCACTGTTTATAAATTGCTGAGCAGAGCTGAGCTAATTCGGCTGCTGACCCGCAGGTCGCGGGTTCGATTCCTGGCTGCGGCGGCTGCATTTCCGATGGAGGGGGAAATGTTGTAGGCCCGTGTGCTCAGGTTCGGGCGCACGTTAAAGAACCCCAGGTGGTCGAAATTTCCGGAGCCCTCCACTATGGCGTCTCTCATAATCATATGCTGGTCTTGGGACGTTAAACCCCACAAATCAAATCGGACCTAAGCTAATGCAGTTCTATGTTTTGAGATTATAGCTTGGCGATTTTCTTCTAATTGGTCCAGTTGTTACAGTGTGTAAAGTGATATGTCATTTTAATAGTGTTGAAAGAGGATAGAAACTGCAGATGCAGCTTCTTGCTGTTGTGTCGGCTCCGGTAGAACCCATGATTACGAATTTGTTATCGCAGGTAATATGGTGCTTTCAGGGCAGCAACATCATTTAGACAACACTTTTGCATATATGCCAGTTGTTCAAAGAACATGACATGGCGAAAACTTGGGTGCTGCTTCTCGGGTGTAGTTTGTTGTGAAAATTATGCAATATTTTTATTGCATAATGTCCTCCCTGAAGTACTTTTATAATTAGGTACCCGTCTTCTTTTTCTTTGTATATGCAAACCTGTTACCATGCTCAATGCTGTCGTGATAATTCTAGCTAGTTCACAGGGCAGGAGTTCCTACAATAAAAGAGTTGAATCCTGCCACATGAGGGTTTACAATGATGTCGCTCAAATTTTCATCGGCCATGTCCGACATTGTTTAGAAGAGTTCCTTGTTCTATGTTTGAAACAATATCTAGGGATGTGTAAAAATATGTTCCTTTCCAACTTCTCCTTGTTCTTGCTCATATAGTGGCTTAGTGCTTAGTGTATATATATTTAAATGTATGGTGTGGTGTTGTTTGTTATTTTATCCTGTATGATTTTTGTTGTTCCTTTGCTGGTTTATATATATTTAGTTTTTATTTGTGCCAACCCTGCCTTGGCTGCGAAAAGGCTGCTAACATTGTTGAATATAGGATAATTAATTGATTGATTAAATTATCTAGTTGCACTTTCGTGTAGTGTAGTTCTTCACCATCACAGCAACATCATTGTAAAAAATTTAAGAAAGACATGAAAATTCAAGCCACCTCATATATGCCGGTCTCTCCTGCGCAGAAGATACGACGAGCAGGGCCTTCCCGAGGGATCTCGGATCAACGTGTTTCTCAAGGGATCAGGCAGGACAGAGCTTTTGTGCCTTCTGTCGCGGGGGGTCTACGTGACCCTGGAAGGCGATGCCAACGACTATGTTGGCAAGGTGAGCTGCCAGCGCTTTCTCAAAGTGTATACTAAACAGTGATTTAAAAAGATGAAGGAGCTTTGCCAAGACGCAACGTCGGCAAAAGTTTTTGATGCGAAGATACTGTTGGTCTGAACGAAAAGACAAAATTTCTTCACATACTTACGTCAATATAACATTCACTTTAAAGCATGGAATCTGTAAGAGCTCACAGCTTTCAGAATTGTTATGGGATGTTTTTCTGGCTGTTCTTAGTGTGGACTCTTTGCGGGGCATTGTGTTCACAACGTAAATGGCTTTGACCACCACATTCATGCATGTCTTTAGATGACATTCAGTGTAGAGATGGCATTGCGTGAAGTTGTTTAAAACTAAGATGTTCTTTCACATGCGTAGACTTTCTTTCCTGTTAGAGTCCTTAGTATTTCTACAAGATGTATCTTTGTTAAATTTTATGGCAACATGTCCATCTAGAAAAGAAAGCTATTGGACCAATTAAATTTTATGGCAACATGTCCATTGAGAAAAAAAAGCTATTGGACCAATGGCAGATCAACTTGATTTGAGAATGGACTACTAGCATATTGGATTCTGGAGGCATACTAGAAAAATAGGATTTATAAAAGCAGGAAGCTTAATAGACCAATCTGTTCCTTGTGGACAGAATCCTAATGGATTGTTTGTTCTGATTTGGAATATTTTTTGCTATTAGGACAGAATGTGTTGATTAATCCTATGAACAGTTGGTCTGCCCTATTTTGAAAGACCAGAAGGCTATACTTGTTTCAAGCTTTTGTCTTTTATGATTTGTGTTCTTGATGAAAAGTGTACAGTCAAACCCTACTACAACGAAACTGACACGGTGCTAAAAAAATTTCGTTAAAGTAAAAATTTTATTGTAGTGAAAGTGAAAAAATTATAGTTGACCTGAGCGAGCGAAGCGGCGAAACTTTTACATTTATTCCGAAGATATAAAGTGTCAGCTGCTTCCTTTTCTTTTCCAGCAGGGTCACGACGCGATTCTCACTTATATGCTGAAAATCACACTGAAACAATAGCCACAATGGCCTTTGTGAATGAACCTAACAGTTGCACTAACACTCAGACACCAGCAGCTATCTGCCATCAAAAGGCATCCGACAACGCCGAGACGTAGGCGAAGTATCGCAGAGCAGTGACTTATGCTATTCTGATCATCCGCAAGCCATGGCTGGCAAATTTTTATTGATAACGCTGACAAACAGCCCACTCTGACCAATGACCACACTGGCCAAGTGTGAAAAGGAACTAAAAGCATTGGTATCAGAAAAGCATTGTAGAAACTATGAACGCGGCTGAGCTTCAGCTTCGGATTGCCTTCGGCTCAGAAGCAAGCCAGTGGTAAAAGCAGGTCAATCCCATTACCATCGCTATCAAGCAGTTGCTACACCATGCTTATTAGATAGCGGTGCAGGTGAGCAGTGGCAGTTTCTAGTGGCGCCAACACGCGTTTTAGACTTTGGAGACGTATTTTTATTATCTGAAATTGCGTCAAAATGTCCAAAGTAGTGTTCACTGCACGGCATTAAATCTGAGCCTGGAATTGCATCGCCAAATTTTGTTAAAGCGCAACGGCAGAAGAAAAAGTATTCGTTGTGGCGAGAATATTTATACGTTGACTCATATGGACTGCCAAAGGGGGACCAAAATTTTTTCGTTGTTGCAGAAATTTCGTTGAAGTGGCATTCATTGCCGCAGGGTTCGACTGTATTAATTTTGAAAACAGTGAATGCTGTTAATGAGGTAACACTGCTGTGCATCACTACCTATATTGTTCTAGTGTTCTAACACATCCAGAAAACCTGTGCTTTCAGGGTTTGTCTGGTGGGGAGCTGGTGATATTCCCACCCAAGGAGCCTGCCACCTGAATTCAAGTCAGAGGAGAACGTGATTGTCGGCAACGTGTGCCTCTACGGTGCCACGGCAGGCCGGGCATTTTTCCGCGGCATTGCGGCAGAACGCTTCTGCGTGCGCAACTCAGGAGCCACTGCAGTCATTGAGGTGTGTTTGAGGGCGCAGTTTCTTTTTATTTGAAATGCATTTCAGGTTATATTGCGGGCTATTTGAGCATCTGGCATGTCTTTTCCATGCTTAGGATTGTTGTCAGCTGATTTCAGGATTATTTTACGACTAATTGCTTGCTCCAATGAGGTACGACTGCATGATACTAACTTTGCATGTTTTGGTCACACGCATAAGGCAATCTTAAGACGTGTTTTATAATGTACTGAATAATTTTTCAGCCTGTCACAATGGATCAGTAGCTACAGTGCTCTGCTGCTGACCAAAGGTCGTGGGTTTGATCCCGACTGTAGCAGTCTCATTTCAGTGAAGGTGAAATGGTTGAGGCCCATGTGCTGTGCGTTGTTAGCACTTGTTAAAGAACACCTCATGATCACAATTTCCGGAGCCCTTTACTACAGCTTCTCTCATAAACATATGGTGATTTTGGAGCGTGAAAACCCAAATACAGTCGAGCCCACAGTAAAACGGCCCCACTTAAAATGAACTTTCGCTTAAAACGAACAATATCTGCATGACCGTAAAAATATACATTGCTTCAAAGGCACAAAATCGCACTTACAATGAAGGTCTCAGAGCGCCGCTAATCAGTTACAGCGAACAGAGTCAGCGATCTGCCGACTTCCCGGGAAACTTCGACCACCGATCAGGCAGCGGCGAGGTGCCCATACATTCTTATTGTTAAAAGCCGACCCTGCCTCAGCGACCCTCTAGTTGCCGCTCTCCCCAACCCATAGAGAAAGGAAAGTTGTTTCCTTTGTTTTATTTATATTATGAATAATGTTTCAACTATTTTGATCTTTGTGGTTGGCTTGAATGCGATTCAACACGTGCAGCCGCACCACCGCCATCATGATTTGCTACTCGACTCATTGCGTGATAGGAAACCAGCAAGTCTTTTTTCTTTCCCTTTTCTTTCTGCAGTCTGAATTGGCTCAAGTTTTCCTATAACAAATGCAAATGACCACGCGGCTCAATGTGAGCAATCGTTATGGTTTCTCATGGCCCAGAAGTGGGTTGTGCACAGATCAGCAGCTGTGATTAACACTTACTACCTGTAAGTCAACTAACAGAGGGTCACAGGACAACTCACTTTGTCGCTGTACAATTGCAGTAAACCTGAATTCACAATGCTTGAGTATATTTTTTAGTCATTTCTTGATTGTGATGTAGGTATTTCTTTTGTTATACACAAAAAAGAAGTGCGCATAGCAATTTGTATACAGTTAGGCCAATTTATAAGAGACACTGATGTAAGAGACAAGTGCGTATAAGTGACACAAGTGTGCCGACGTTGAAATATAATAATGGTAGCAGGGGCAAGATGGAAGCTCGCGATGAAAAATTCTTAAACAGGGAAGAGGAAGAAAAGTCCACTTGTTGAAACGGCGGCACGACAGAATACCCGTTTACGGATTTTTTATTACATTTAAATATGTGTTCATGAAAGAACGCATATGTGGTACCCTGCTTATAAGAGACGCCTCATGTCAAAGACGAGACTTGCTGCCCAGTGGTCGGGGATCAACTATATTGTCATTCCTTTGCCTTGTTTCATTTCCTCTTCTTCTTCTTCATCTGTATTTTTATTTTTGTGTAGGAGTAAGAGTTGTGATCAGTGGTGATGTCAGCTACCCAGTGCCACCTCACAATCTACTGTGTCTTTTAAAAAAAACTTGTGCTTTGTAGATAACAATGAATTTTTTGTATTTGTTATTGTAATCAAGATGGGGCAATCAAAAGCATAGAGGAGCTATTTCTGAGGTTTAATCGTGCTTCTCTCTCGCCGCTCCTGCAGGTTGAAACGGCGGCACGACAGAATACCCGTTTACGGATTTTTTATTACATTTAATTATGTGTTCATGAAAGAACGCATATGTGGTACCCTGCTTATAAGAGACGCCTCATGTCGAAGACAAGACTTGCTGCCTAGTGGTCGGGGATCAACTATATTGTCATTCCTTTGCCTTGTTTCATTTCCTCTTCTTCTTCTTCTTCTGTATTTTTATTTTTGTGTAGGAGTAAGAGTTGTGATCAGTGGTGATGTCAGCTACCCAGTGCCACCTCACAATCTACTGTGTCTTTTAAAAAAAACTTGTGCTTTTTAGATAACAATGAATTTTTTGTATTTGTTATTGTAATCAAGATGGGGCAATCAAAAGCATAGAGGAGCTATTTCTGAGGTTTAATCATGCTTCTCTCTCGCCGCTCCTGCAGGGTGTTGGTGACCACGGCTGTGAGTACATGACTGGCGGTATGGCCATCATCTTGGGACCAACAGGCAGGAACTTTGCTGCTGGCATGTCTGGTGGAATTGCCTACGTCCTTGATGTGTGCGTATTATCTCCTTTTTTGTGAAGCGCTTTTATAGGTGTGAGCAGTCTGAGGCTTCTTTTTGCACATTCACTTTAACACCCTCAGTAACGAAATCACCAGAGAAGCAATTTATGTGGTGTGTAGACCACAGCTTAGTTGCTGACAAACCAGAACAGAACAGTTCAGTTTCTTCCGATTTTTTATAATGAAAGTCACTAGAAGTATTCTCTTGGTAAAATTCTTCTAGCTAGGCCTCTGTAACTTTCAACATGTAATAAAATTTTGCAATGAGGCCTTGAAACGTGCCCTTTATCAGGGAAAGCAACTATATTGCTGGTTGTGTTAGCTGAGTCGGTTAAAATATGTAATTATAAGTGGCATAATTTCATCGCAAAGTTTACAGACAGCATAAATTGTGTTTCGATTAGTTGTTTTTTTGCATGATTTATAGGCTGTATATCTATCAGATGCAGTTAGTGAAGGTAGAAGAATATATAATAATAATAATAATAATAATAACCGTTGGGGTTTAGCACCACATTATCCCAATATGATTATGGGAGACTTTGTAGTGGAAGCTTTTGAATATTTCAACCACCTGGGGAATTGAACCTGCACCTAAATCTAATCATATTTCAAGTACTTAGCACAACTTCGTATTCCTTTGAAACACTCTCACATTCACACGTGCTTCCACTCAAGAAACATACACTACACACTTGAGTGGAAGCCTGTGTCAATGCGAGTGTATTTCAAGGGATTGCCAAGTTGCGCTAAGTACTTAAAATATGACGATTCATTAGCTAGCCCATCAGCAAGTTTTAGTAACCTAAATAAATGTTTACGGGCCTCAAGCATTTTCGCCTCCATCAAAAATGCAGCTGCGGAATTCAGGATTTAATCGTGCGCGACCTGGAGGTCAGAAGTTATGTGCCTTAACCTTTAGGCCACCATGACGGGTAGGGGATGGAAGAATACAGTCGAGCCCACATATTACGGCCCCACTTAAAACGAACTTTCGCTTAAAACGAACAATATCCTGCGTGACCGTGAAATCATACATTGGTTCGATGGCATGAAATCACACTTACAACGAACGTCTCAGAGTGCCGCTGATCAGTTACAGCGAACGGAGTCAGCGATCTGCGGACTTCCCGGGAAACTTCGACCACCAATCGGGCACCGGCGAGGTGCCCCTACATTCTTATTGTTAAACTGTCGACCCTGCCTCCGCGACTCTCTAGTTGCCGCTCTCCCCAACCTATGGAGAAAGGAAAATTGTTTCCTTCTCCATGCCCTGACTCCCTTTTGTTACGCACCCCTCTGTCCTTTGTCCCCCCCCCGCTACTCTGAGCACCCCGCATTGCCAGAAGAGGCCCGTGTTTTCACACTGCCACAGATCTTTTGAAGATCGGTCGGCCATCTGCTCCATTTTTGATCACTGGTACTGTCGTTGGCGTCGCCGGCCTAGAGTGACCAGACCATTTGCCAACATCGTTGGCCACCGACCGTATTCGATAGTCTGCGTCTAGTGCATGCGTGTATACTACCCCACCGACTCTGATAATTTGCGATTTGTTTCGTCTTTAGGACTTGTGCCCGCTCACTTCACACTCAGCTCGGGATGCCTTCCGCGCCCGTGTGGAAGTGCGAAAACGGCTGTTAATTTGAGCCAAACGAATCGCGATATATCGAAGTCCTTAAGGCCGTGCAAACCCACCGACGCAACAAAACCATTTTTTGACCACGGCCGCCGATTCTTCGAACACGGCCGCGCGCACCGATGCAGGTGGCTAAGCTTTGCCTTCTGCGGGCGCAGGCACTCTTTATATGTTTTTCGATGTGCGAGTTTCGCGGACCTTTCAAGCAAGCTACCCAACCTTCCTGTGTGTTTTGGTTTTCAAGGTCGCCCTCCCACCGCATCCTCCCCTCTCTTCATCCAACTCCTTGCCCTTCTCTCGCAAGTCTGCTTTCCTCTCTTGATCACAACCCCTTCGCCCGTCTTTACCACTTCGCCACGCCCGCCACGCTGGCTCGAATTAGTTTCGTTTTCTGACTGGAAACGGGCCCAGAGCTGTTCCACGTGTTCTGGCATGAGTGTCGTGTGTGCGCATCTTGCTCGCTCTTGGTGTGCGTGTGTGGTCATGATGACCGACGGGAGGACTAGCACGCTTTTTCCTGCCGCTCAACAAAATGTCGAAAGTGTGACCACTTGGCTTGAGCGTAATCTGCGCGTTAGGTGCCGCGTTGCAGAGCGCTTGCTCATAGCTGTTGACCACCTGGCAGCCAACTTGCCGCTTCGGGCGTCCCAGTATTTGGCTGTGGAGATCGTGAATATTTCGTGGGCGGCGGTGATGACTACATGTGCGCGAAAATGTTTTTGCGAGGCTGACTTCGTCGACGTCCGGCCCGATTCCGAGCCTGAAGCTTCCGAATTGCTGGCGGCAATTTGTGGCAGCGTGTCGTCGACTCCAACCTCAGAGAGCGAGGTCGTACATCTGTTACGATGGTTTAATTACGGCTGATGATGATGCCGACACTGCGAAACTGTGCACCAATTGGGGCACTGTGAATGAAGTAGGTGGCGAGAGCGATTTGGAAGAATCGGATTGCGAGAACGACGAAACTGTGGAGCCAGTGCCTCATGTAACTTATGGCACGGGCCTCGTCGAATGAGCACCCTGTCGTTTTAAATGAACTCGAGATTGCCCTTATCGCATCTGCTCTTCGAAACGCGTGCATCACAGACTTTTTGTGGCAAAAAAGTTTGTGTTTTCACTGGCTACTTTTTTAAAAGTTGTGTTTCATTTAATATGAACTTTGGGATACAGCGATCGCATGCCGCGTCACGCTCTGGTTCGTTATAAGTGGGTTCGACTGTATATAATGGCGCACATTTTCGCGCCAACACAACCTGTACTAGACAGAAGTTGGTGGAACTCATCTGCACCTCATGCTCTTGTTCGAATTGTCTTGTGTCTCATCACGCACTGACTGTAGGTAGGTTCGTTATAAGTGGGCTCGACTGTATATAATGGCGCACATTTTCGCGCTAACACAACCTGTACTAGACAGAAGTTGGTGGAACTCATCTGCACCTCTTGCTCTTGTTCGAATTGTCTTGTGTCTCATCACGCACTGACTGTAGGTAGGTAGAAAATGTCCATGATCGTGCGACAAGTGATGCTTCTCATTTTGTGGATGCCTTCAGTTGTGAGTCAAGTGAAATACCGCCTGCCGCAGTAGCTGCATGGTGCTCGTAAGTATGATGGTGCAGGTTCAGCTCCTGGCCATGATCGCCATGCCTCAACTGCCACCAAAACTAGGCTACCCCCAACCCCCCTTGCTACAATGCGCCTCATAATCAAATCTTGTTTATCGCATGCATAACATGGTTTCAGTTGTGAAAGACTGGACGAACAAGTGGTGTGCCACATTGTGCAGTGACGGCATGTTTCGAAACAAGTGCAATGCCATGATGGTGGACCTGCTGCCTCTGGAGCTGGCTGAGGACCTCGACCAAGTGGAGTCTCTGATCCGCGAGTTCTACGACTTGACGGGCTCTGCGGTGGCGGCCTCTCTTCTCTCCAAGTGGCCCGACTCTGCCAAACTTTTTATCAAAGTGCGTACATTTTGAAGTATCTTTTGGGGAATTTCAACCACATAAGTGACAGCAATGGTCTGGATGCTTCACAATGGCCAGCTAATTTATATGCAGGAACAACTTTTCAGTGGTTTGTCATGCCTGAAGTACTGTCAGTTTTGTAATATAAAGAACCCTCGGACCTAAGGATAAGGAATAATAGAGAGCTTTGAATATCGCAATGAATATTACTGTATTTGAATTAGCTTGCATTCGAATTTATGTGATTAGAAATCTTGAAACACTCAAAATTAACGAATAGATGCGCATTGGTGCCCATGTAAGCTTCTTGCAAAGATGGTTTCTCTGTCATGTAGGAATGCTGTACCATGATTACACCTGTACATAAAAAATTCGCAATGTCATGAAGCCCTACTTTAAGGTTAAAAGGACATATTACCCTGACATCGATTCATCATTTTTCAAGTTTAAAAGCTTGGTATACGGGCTTGTATGCTCTAAGTATAGTAGATTTTTGAGTGTAACATGCTTTACAGGTTACCGCTCGCGTTGTGCTAAAAGTAAATTCCTGCTACTATTTCCTTTGAATTGAAAAAAAAAAAAAAATGTTTGCATGTACCTCAATTAAAAAAAATATTGGACAGTTTTTTTGTTTTTGGGTCATAACAAATATGGGAATTTTCTTTGTAAGATGCAATATATACTTCTCGAAATCGATTTCAAATTATTTGGCCAAATTACAATTTTCTTCAACTTTGCTTTGAACATAGATTTACTGTTAGCACAAGTCTACTAATGAGTCATCAAAAGGGCTGGCAAACCAAAGGTGTGTTTGAATTTCAAGAGATTCTTGTCAGAATACTTAATGATGGTGATTATATGTTGGTTGTAGTTATATAATAATTGTCACGAACTAAGCTTAAATCACTCACAACACACCATTTCAAACTTGCGACTCCCAATCACCACGCCGAACTCCTTTTTCTCCACCCCCTAACCCTAACCCCTCTTCTCCCCGTCCCGATGATGATGATGGTGCCATCACGTTAGACCCTACTCTCGGCCAAGCACTGATGATGATGATGGTCCCGTCACGTAACGCCCTCTCTCGGCCACCCTCACAGGTTTCACTCTCCCCCCCCCCCCCCTTTGAGATGTAAAGCCACCACTACACATCGCCTGCAGCTTCGTGGTAGAGTGTCAGCTGATCTCTGTGTCTCACATCGTGGCCACAACCTGTGTTGGGGTCCACTAGAACGAAGCATTATGTCTTACACGGCTCACTGCCCGAAAAGGACTGAAACGCCGGGGTGCAAGCTTCGAGGAGAAACCTTTGGTGGTATTGCTGAGGGAGTGGCCTTCGAGCAGAACGAGACCACCCTCCTGTGTTGTCAGTGGCCGCCTGTGCCAGTTGTAGCGAGTCTTCTGGGCATGCAACTTGTGGTCCTGGTATGCCCTGGAGAAGTCAAGTACCTCCTGTAGACACTTGGAGACCTCAGTGGCAAGTGCACGGTATGCTGTCACAGGAGGCTCTGCGTTGTATTTGGCTTCAGTCTGCGTCCATAAAGTTCTCACCTTCCGGCCATAACAAAGGAACGCAGGCGTGTAGCCCGTGACCATGCTTTCAGCCATGCGCATGGCTAGGGCAATTTCTGGGATGTGCTGGTCCCAGTCTTCATGGTTGGAACAATAAGCAGCAAGGCACTGCTTGATAGTGCCATTGTGGCGCTCCACCATTTGCCCGGCAGGGCGGTACAGAACTGTGTGTTGGTATTGTATGCTCCAGTGTTCAAGGAGCCCCTTCCACAACCTGCTTACAAAGGGCTTTCCATTGTCACTCGAAACAGGAAACAGGTGTGCATGCTTGAAAAAAACGTGGATCATGCAGGCCACCACATTCTTTCTGGTTGTTGCTCATAATGGGAAAAGTTCAATGAACTTGGTGAACTTGTCAATCACCACAAGAAGGTACTTGTGGCGCCTGAGGCATCATAGGCAAGGGCAAAATTACGTCTACGCTGAGCTGTTCCATGGGGGCGGTGGCCCATTGGCTGTTCATCAGCCCTTCTGGCTTCTGGCGGTGGGCTTTAGTGCGCTGACAAACCTGGCAGCATCGCACATACTCGGGTATGTCTGAGCACCCAGCCAGCCACATAAAATTCTGAAAAATGCGTTTGAGGGTCTTAAAAAAGCCGGAGTGGCTGCTAATCTGGTGGTCATGCGACAGTTGCAGTACAAGTACAAAGTTGCAGAGATGGTTTGTTAGCCAAGGTACTTTCCTGTTCCCTTGGGGCTGTACAATCAACCCACTCTCTTCCATCTCGGTCATCTTTGCCAGGTCTTTGATCAAAGGTTTATCACTGCCAGTGGGTGGAAGCTTCCCTCCCTTCATTACAGGTCGTAGTTTTGACAGTATGGGGTCCTGCTCTTGTTCCTGGGCGAGAAGCCCTGCATCATTCAAGACAGTAGTGTCGTCCACTTCAGATGTTACAGCAGCTGCCTCAAAGCTGATTCGTGGTCTGGGCTCTGGAACAGCCAGAGGGAACAGTGTCTCTTGTAGACTCCGGCCTGTAACTTCCTGGTGCTGGAGGAGAGCTCTGCTCAAAGCGTCGGCTAGCACATTTGCAAGTACCCGCATGTGCTTGATCCTGCAGTTGAAACCTTGCAGCCTTAAAACCCAACGGTTTACACGTGGTGAGTTCTGGTCCATGGTGAACATCCAGGACAGTGAGGAGTGATCGCAATGGATGTCAAAATCGGTGAACTCTAGCCCCCGAATGCAGAGATGTTACTTGGCTCGCGACTTCACCTTAACTTGAGCAAGTCGGCGTGAAGCAAGCAGCGGACTTCAAAACGCCCAAGTCAGCCTTCGCGTTTCATAGATGCTCAGGCTGTCTTGCTTGGTCAAGTCAAAAACGAGCTTCAAAGCAGAAACTCGCTGCTCGCCTGCTAACGAGGGTAATAATGAAGTTGTTTGCGTAAGGCATGCATTACATCAAAAAAAGACCATACGTTTTAAAATAACTATAGAAACGAAGGGCCACAAGCATATTCTTGCCATTTAAGGCTAACGAGCGGCACGTGGTGCCTGTTGCCACAGCGATGCGCAATGTTGCTTCTGTAAAGCGTTCGTTGCCTGCTGGTTTTAGTGGCCACCCAATCGGGGTGCTTTTTCATGGTTGCTTGTTTGGAGGCGAAACAAGCATCGCGTTGGGTTCTTCCGTCGTTTTTTTTTTTTTTTTTTAAATCGAACGCCATGGCATGTATTTGTGCTGACCTGGCTCACTAGGTGACGCGATTTTCATGGTATTTGCCTTTCTGTTCGTCTGAGTGCATGCCTGTAGTGGACTAGGTCGCAGTTATATATGACAAAAAAAAAACCAAGTTCTGGGAACAAATGTGATTCGTATTCGTTCGTTGAGCTTGGTAAACAAGAGAAAAAGCGGGTGTCAGGACATTGCCCTCAGTAGAATTCTGTTTCACGGAGTGCAGCAGTGTCTCGCTGCATGATGGTGAAGCGGAAAAAAAAACCCGTGATAGGGTCACCTCTTTTTTATATGTGCGGAATTTTACGTAGCGTTGTGCTACAAGCGATGCCTTTCTGAGCGAGAAACAGCGGCCTAGACGGGACGAAAGGATAGACGAGGCACACAGACACAGCGCTGAGTCAATTTTGTACCGAAAAAGACGGAAATTGTCATCGTGTTTAAGAAAAAAACAGAAATGGCCTTTGCGGTTGTGGAACACTTCGGGGTCGTCCCCACCGAAGCTATTAATACGCACGTGTGAGTAGTCGACACAGTCTGTAACACCAGGGAACTTAGCCACTTCATAAAAGTCCCGCATAAGTATAGAAAGTGCTGCCGGCTGCGGAAAGTGCACTAGCATTGCGCACAGGTGCTTTGCGATGAGTAGCGTAACTTTTCCTACTGCACGGCAAACTGTCGACTGCGGAATGCTGAAGAGATTCCCGGTGACTGTTTGGAATGTGCCAGCGCCGTAAAACCCGAGAGCCATCAGTAGCAGTAACACTGGAGGCACAGGCTGTCCTCGGTTGTCTCCACTTTCATGGAGCGGCAACATACCCAGCAGCTGCCGCACCGCGTTCTCCGTGAATCTGTATCGAGCATGGAATTGTTCCTCGTCGTAGAACTCCATCGGATTTCCTTGGTCACGTAAAGCGGGTCCAAGAACCTTCGGCATGCAGTGCGCCTCAGAAAATGCTACGCTTATGGCGAGGCAAGCAAACTCAAAAGCCGCCACCCTCCGCGCGACATCCATTTGAGAGGTGGCCATGTTGGAATAACGCATGAAGTCGCTTTCAAGCTAGCCCCGCAGCTGACTTGAAACTTGTCCTGACTTCGACTGAGCCAAGTCGCCTTCAAGTCGTCCGCAAGTTCGAGAACGATTTATGGCGAGCGGCAAGACTGCCTTGAGTCAAGAACGAGTCAAGTACGAGTCAAGTAACATCTCTGCATTCGGGGGTAGGTATGGTCGTAGCTTGTCCACTGTCCTCACCACAGCCAGACACTCGCATTCTTGCACTGTATAGCGCTTCTCTGCCTCAGTGAGGACTCTGCTAATGAAGCTAATTGGTCACAGTGGAGCATTATTCTTGTTTGCCTGCAAAAGCACCGCTGTGATGCCGACTTCATTGGCGTCTGTTTTCACCACGAATGGTCTGTTGAGGTCCAGTAGGTTTACAATGACATCGTGGGCCAGGGACTGCTTAAGTGCTTTAAAGGCTTCCTCTTGCTGTAGCTCCCACTGCCAACGTTGGTTTTTCTTAAGGAGTTCTGTGAGTGGACGTGCAGTGATAGAAAATTGAGGTATGAACTCTTTGTAATAGCTAGCTAGTCCTAAGAATTAAGGCCTACAGCTGTTTGAGTGTTGTTGGTGGACTATAGTCCAGCACCGCACGCACTTTTTCCTTGTGGCCGGCCTACACTGCCCGGGCGATATTTCATGGCGAAAGAACTTCAGGTATTGACAGCACATGTGCACCTTTTCTGGGTTGA